ATTAAATTCCTAAATCACTCGAATTCTTCAACAAAGAATCAGATTTAAAAATATGATTTGGTATTAGCTTGCCAATACAAGGCTATGACTATCCCAATACTTAAATTTTTACGTATAAATTAACAGGATTTTTGGAAAACTATTCTTGGATTATTAAAGTGCATAATTAAATTACATGGTCGTATGACGCAAACAATGACCTAAAACGTCTTCTCAATCAACACTCTTCATATGCATCTACATGAGATCAATGTATCATAATCAATGACACTATACTATTATAAGAAAATCCTTTTTAAAAAGAAAGATGTTATGCTACTATATAATAGGTCAGATATGGTCCGACGATGGGGCCAAAGGTTGCTTTACTTCTAAGTTCTATTAACGTCCCTAACAATTATTTAAATAGAAATTCACTTTATAGTAGTATCGAGTATCCCATTGGTAAATTTTGCATCTCCTTTAGCCTCATGCACGTGCCATCGCATGAATCCAATTCTTCAACATGTACTCAACAGATTATTAATTTTTATGAAAACTTTATAATTTATGAAAATCTGTAGATTTCAATCTACAAAACCAACCTATTGTTTTTTTAAAAGGGAAACTCATCTCTTAATTTCTTTTAATTAACATATAGACTAGATCTATGAAATGATCCAAAGTAATCTATAAAGAAAGATACATCACACATATATACTTCTTTCCGGATTTCAAATAGACAGTAAACAATAAATTTATATTCGCGTGACCACATGATTAAGTATTGTTAATATTAGGGACAAAGGTCCCACATCGGTTGTTGGAAGGGATCCTAAGCAATATATAAGATAGATGAGCCAATCCACTTATCACCAATTGGTTTTAGGTTGGAAGCCCATCTAGCTTAACATGGTATCAGAGCCTATGGTTTGACCCAGCATTATGATTTCCCACATAAACAGTTTCCTACTATGTAGTCTGTAAAAGTGGCCCATATGCTGTGGTATTTCCGAGATGTTGGGCTTGGGCTGTTTCCCTATGGACCGTTTCCCACCCACATCTCGAGAGGGGCTATTAAATGTCCCACATCGTGTAAACATGAGGTTATTGGACAATATATATGTGTATGGGCAATCCTCCACTCTTGAGCTAGCTTTTGGGTGTGAGTTAGGCCCATCACTAATATAGCCCATCTAGCTTAACATGGTATCAGAGCCCACGATCCATGCAGTCCAACCCGATCCTTATCGATCCAGCCCAAAGTCGGCCCATCGATCCTTGCCCGAACATTCCGAGATTGATGCCAAAGAGCCATCATCTCGAGGGGGCGTATTAGGGACAAAGGTCCCACATCGGTTGTTGGAAGGGATCCTAAGCAATATATAAGATAGATGAGCCAATCCACTTATCACCAATTGGTTTTAGGTTGGAAGCCCATCTAGCTTAACAGTTAAGTGATTTCAAAATCCAGTTTATTTAGCAACCTGAACCCCGTCTGCCACTAGACAACTATTACATGGTTAACCATTTATACGTTGTAGTTAAGTTATGTGTGTGTCCCGACTAATATTGAGCTATGTAAATAAGAAACCATCAGTGTCATGTATTTTGGAAATGTATAAGCTACTAGCTTAAAATTCTATATAGTGTTTAGAAAGTAAAACTCGGAATTTGAAACGCAATGGGTAGCTTAGCGTTAAAACAGAAAATTAATCATATATTTCCTGCTTTTCTTTAACAATTACACGACTTGTAACTTTATAAATTATATATTCACCAGTAATTAAATGTTTTCGCATATTTTAAGTAATATTTTTTTTTAACGGCACGGCCATTCTTCCGGTATGACCTATGGTGGCTAGAACCATTATTTTGTTCAGATAATCAAAATCACTTGGAATTCGTATAAATATTTGTTTACAAACCACACATGTGTGATCATATGCTCGATGGGTATGGAAAGGTGATAAATTCTCCATATTTGAGATTTACCATTTACATTTATTCATCTATGCGACATGGATATCTAATTTCTATGTCAAGCACTCGAACTTGTCAATGTCGATAAATCGACCCCAGAAAACTAGTCAGGTTTTCGAATTCAGACATCTCAAATTATCACACACAAAAAACATTCATGTTTACAGGAGTGGGAATAAAACGAGTGAAAATCCAAACACGAGGTAGCCACTCGTGGTGGCAAACCACTTTATAAGATAGCACTTGAGAATAACTCTACAAATAGGCAAACGCCAAGTGTTTGTGCATGACGTCTCTTTTCTATCTTATCGTTTTTATATAATTATATATAATATTGTAAAATTTCAACAATTTGAATTTGAATGGTGTATTTATGTGGATAGAGTCTGAAATGGAAATTCACCATTATCTATCATCCATAATGGATCATATGGCTAAAAGCCACCATCAGTTATGAATTGTGTGCTTTTACACACAAATCATTCGCACGATCAAAGTTTCAGAAAAAAAAGAATTATTTAAAATGTTATCTACTTATTAAACTTATCCTATTCTAGTTAGTTTCCTCCTACTAGACAAACCAATATATCATATCATGCATCTTTTATAAATGAAGAAAAAAAAACTAGTATACTTCTCGTCATTATTGCACCTAATTGTGGAACTTATCTTCTCTGTATATATATTTGCATGCCCATGACACATCTCACGTCATGCATTGATCGCTATGTGTTGTGTGCGTTTTGTGTTCATGCATTATTAAGAATTAATGCAAATACAGACATAGAGACACTCAGGACACATAAAAAACTAAACAAAAAATTTCATTTCACGCATGCAGACACAATTGTATAATAGACTTCTAAAGATCTCAGTTAATTAGTTCTAACTTCTAGGGTAGATACATTAATTTGTAATGATGGGTTTATGGTCTTAAATATAATTGTGGGAATCAACCAGACATGTACATCTTTAGATTAATTATGTCTACAAAGCTACAACCAAACAATCATTTGTTAATCATATTTAAAAATGCACAATGCCTCTTATGGAGCTTGAAGAGCCAATCTGTTTTAATACATACAATTAAAACTTGCAATACTAATTAGGTGATTTCTTTACCTAATTAACCCTACTGATCTAGCCTGTTTGGACTTCCCAAAGGCTAAAGGCTAAAGGCTAATAAAAGTTTTAAATAAATTATACTCGCACTCTACAGTTAAAAGAAGAATATATGGATATTTTACATTACAGTGCTAACTATCCTACTATATTCGAATGATTTATAAAATTCCGGTTAGCTGCGAATGCAAATCAAAAAAAAAAACGCAAAATGCAATATAGTTAATGCCTTTTCTACATTAAATAGGTCTTGCTTCTTACGAACAAGTCATGCTTGTCGCCCGCTTAATCGCGTAACTTATAGTATTAATGATTATTGATTACAACTATTAAGAAAGTCTGAAAATATTTAGTGAGACAGCTATGATCATCATTTAGATAAACATCAGTATTTTGTACGGATACTTTTAAATTATTTATTCTAGAAGCAGCCGTTGTTACGTCATTAGAATCGAAGTATAATCTCATGTTCTATGTACTCCCCACTCATTCTCTTATCTTGAACTGCTAAATCTCTTCACCAGTTATCGCCGAGGCATGCGCGGGTTAGAGAAGCTAGAAGACGTGGTCAAGGTAAGAACATAAAATTAAACAATAGCTATTTTAAAAGAAGAGTTCAGAAGAGAATTTAAAAAAAAAAACGGATCTACCTGGTGCGCACATCAGCGAGAGGTAGTGGATAGACATGACAACTGAATAAAAAAACGAATACCATTTTTATTTTAAAAATTTAATAAGTTTTTATGAATATTAAGATTCGAATCATACATATTAAATCGCTGATTATCAATATTTTACTTTCATACCTAAAATAAAATTTGGTACTCCAAATACGGATTAGTCAGCCACTATTTATTAATACAAAAACTCGAGGGAAAATAGTATAGAAACATGTAATAATTAGGTTTGACTCACTGTAGCTGCATTAGAACCCACAAAAAATAGAAACTAGAGAAAAAATATATATTAGTAAATTCATTTTCTATGGAAAATATATTAAATAACCACGTCAAAGGTCTCATTTAAGTTGTCGTGTTCTCGCATGATACCTCTTCTTCTTCAAGATGATGAGACCTGAGTTTCTGAGACAGAAGGAAGAGCTTTTAAAAACCCTTCTGCTTACGGTCGGATTCGAACTCCGTACTTCCGTACTTTACGTCCGATCTTCTCGCTGAAGTTTTGTTTATTTCGCGACCTAAAGAAACCATCATAAGGTGTGAAGGTGTGGCTTTGAATCTCTATTCTTAGCTTATCTCTTGTGTGTTTTGTTTTCTCTGTAGTGAAAGCGAGAGGGAAATTATAGTGAAAAGTCTAGATTTCTCGTTTATGGCTTTACTCTGTTCCATTCTTGTCACTAAAAGTCTTAATACCTTTTTTTCTTCTATCTTATTGGTTATTTTGATTAGTTCCATTTCCTATTTTTTCTCTTGATTAATTGTATAAACTTGATGAATTACTTCAGTATGTTTTTTTTTTCTTCTAGTTGCTTGGAATCGAAGCTGGAAACAATTCGAATATTGCGCAGTATTGTCTTGCATTAGAAAAGTTTTAATCTATCTTAACTTGTAGGTTATGTGTGTGACTTCATGCTTTTTTTTTTTTTTTTTTTTTCTTTTCTGATGCTATCTAGCTTATGTTTGATTTCACCTTTCTTCTAAAGTTGCGTACAAGAATTTAGTAAACCAGTGGATTGAAATTCCTCTTGTTTAAAGGTGTCTTTAACTGTTTATCTTGTTGTTAAGTTGGTCCACCGTTAGTGATGAAATAAAGTGACATTCTCAATAAGTGGAAACCTGACTTTCCGAAATGTTTTTGCTGCTTACCACAGTTTCTACGATCTTATCTATTAACAACACCATCCAAAAACTATTGGGGATAATGTTTTATTTTAAATAGGTGGAAGTCACTGATTGTTGGGAGGAGGATGATGAATTGAATGATAGCTAGAAAAGTTATATCAAATAATATAACCTTTATTTTTTTCTTTTAGCTGTGATTACAACATAGTATGTTTCACTTATGAATGTGATCTTTGTTAGTGTTCTCCTAGGTGTTAGGGATTCTTCATGCCCTCTTAAATTTCTTTTCTTTGAATAAAAGCTCTGGAACATAAAGGTGGATTCCTATTTTCTTTATAGTAATCTTAATAGAATTGAGTTCCTTTGGAGATTGAAATAGTTTTCATGAACTTTTACTATTTCTATGCGTTTGACTTTATGTGATCTAACTTTTGGTTGAGACCTAATAGCTTATATTAGAGATTGGTTTATATGCTTTCATACATTTTTTAAAAAACATTGTAATTTATTTATTTGCAGCTGAAGGAAGCATGAATTCAACATCAACACACTTCGTGCCACAGAGTAGAGTTGGTATATACGAGCCTCTCCATCAGTTTGGTATGTGGGGAGAAACTTTCAAGAGTAATATTGGCAATGGGGCAAATATGAACACTCCAAACCACATTCTAATACCAAATAATCAAAAACTAGACAACAACAACAACTTGGTACCTTTTTGTTTCATTCTTCTTTTAAATCTCTTGACAATAACACTTCTTATTTTCAAAAATTTAAAAGCTTTTTTGTTTTATTGAACTCTTTTTTTTTTTTGTTATAGTCAGAGGATACTTCCCATGGAACCCCACACATGTTTGATCAAGAAGCTTCTACGTCCAGACATCCTGATAAGGTACAATACCAATTTTTCTATCATTTTTATTTAATACTCCGTGGATCATATGGAGTTTGGACTACATCTAAAATGGTTAATATTGTCACAGATACAGAGACGGCTTGCGCAGAACCGCGAGGCTGCTAGGAAAAGTCGCTTGCGCAAGAAGGTATGAACATTATTTACTCACTAGGCAATAATCTTTTGATGTTTGTTTACTCAAATGTGAGATATAAATGTTTTTTTTTTTAATTTTAATTTTTTTTACAGGCTTATGTTCAGCAGCTGGAAACAAGCAGGTTGAAGCTAATACAATTAGAGCAAGAACTTGATCGTGCTAGACAACAGGTTGATGAAGCCAAAATTTATTTTAGGTTTATTTCCATTTCCAAAATACATCGCAAACTCTCATATAAAATTGGATGTTTTCAGGGGTTCTACGTTGGTAATGGCATAGATACTAGCTCTATAGGTTTCTCCGAAACCATGAATCCAGGTTTGTATCAAGAACGGTCTAGTCTTTCTTTATTTTTATTTATCATGGCGTAAACTCATTTTTTATTTATAGGGATTGCTGCGTTTGAGATGGAATATGGACACTGGATAGAAGAACAGAACAAGCAGATATTTGAACTAAGAACGGTTTTGCATGGACATGTTACCGATGTGGAGTTACGTTCTCTAGTGGAAAACACCATGAAACATTACTTTGAGCTTTTCAGGATGAAGTCAGCAGCTGCAAAAGCAGATGTGTTCTTCGTCATGTCAGGGATGTGGAGAACTTCTGCAGAACGGTTCTTTCTTTGGATTGGTGGGTTTCGACCCTCTGATCTTCTCAAGGTAACATACAAGAAACAATGAACAATCAATACCATTAAAAATGGATTATTCTCTTTAATGTCTTTTGTTTTTTTGTCTAAAAATTATATAACTAAGTACAATCAATATATATTTAGTGGGTTTGATTAATGAGCTAATTTTCTTTCAAAATATTTTTGAAATTTGATTTTGATCATGTAACATTTTATATCATCAAAACAAAATATTTTTTTTTTATAGATAAAACAACAAAAATAGTAGCTGCATTTTTTAAGCGCGGAAAAAAAATCTAGTTCTATAGTAATAAAGTAAAAATTAATAATGTTTTATTGATATGTTTTTTTGTTGTGTAGGTTCTTTTGCCACATTTTGATGTGATGACTGATCAACAAGTTCTAGATGTATGTAACTTAAGACAATCTTGTCAGCAAGCCGAAGATGCGTTGTCTCAAGGCATGGAGAAGCTACAACACACGATTGCGGAATGTGTTGCACGTGGAGGACTTGGTGAAGGGAACTATATTCCTCAGGTTAATTCTGCTATGGAGAGATTAGAAGCTTTGGTCAGTTTTGTTAATCAGGTAAAGATAGTAATAATCTTTATTTTTATAACCAACATTAGTAGTAGTACCAATCAGTTTCTTGATTATTGTTTATTAGGCTGATCACTTGAGACATGAAACATTGCAACAAATGCATCGGATATTGACCACAAGGCAAGCGGCTAGAGGGTTATTGGCACTTGGTGAGTATTTTCAACGGCTTAGAGCCTTGAGCTCGAGCTGGGCAACTAGACATCGTGAACCAACATAAATTTTAAGTTTCTAAAAACAGCAAGAAGAATCAAGAAAAACAGAGGATTACTACATAATAAATGGGGGTTGCTGCTGATGATTATTTTTTATTCTGCGGCCCAATCAGAAGAACAATTGAAAAACGTGTACTAAACTTGTAAATATCAGAAAAGGTGAGGCGTTCGTTTTCCGGGTGTAGCCTTTAAAGAGACAAGTTTTTCGGATGTTTGCTTGATTATATAGAAGTTGGTCCCAAATTAATAATAATAATAAATAAGTGTGTGTTCAAGTTATTATCAATGGGGTATTCAATCTGGTAACCAAACCAAAATAGAGAAAATGGCTTACATTTGGTAGTATCGAATAAACCGAATAGATGTTAATCATAAGAAACTACGGTATATGGATATAGTTTGGTATATAAACCGAACGAACCGAGGAAACCAATTTGTATATTTATATGAAAATTTTATAATAAAAGTAATGATATATACATAATAATTTATTAATTTGATATTCATATTTATGGCACAAATTTTATTAATTTTGTATTTGTTCTGAGTTAAATTTACACAAAACATATTTTATTGATAAATGTTGAATTAAAATATAGTTATTCAATAATATTATGATATTAATATTTTCTATTATTTTATTTTTAATAGTAAAAATGAAAAAAAGATATTATATTTTAAATTTAGAGTACGAAACATATATATATATATATATATATATATATATATTATTTTAGTAAGTTTAATTTTGAATCATATAAACTAAATTTGTCATAAAAATTAAATATATTTATTTTTGATATAAAAATGAATAAACCAAAAACCGTTAATATATAAACCAAACCAAAATAGATATGGTAACTAATTTTTATAAATCGAAATACCTAAAAATAAAAAAAAATGAACCGAAACCGAACCGACATCTGGATTGAACATCATCCATCACCTCCAGTATTTGAAAACTTAAAATATTTCACTGAAGTTTTCCCAAATTAATAATAACACATTTCCAATTTCGAAACTATTTTGTAATTTTTAAAAAAATATTTGGACTTCATCTTAATTATTACAATCTTGCCTGACTCCTATTTTTAATTTAAATACTATTGGGTATATTTCGTGATTAAAGGTAAATACAGGGACAAACAGAAATATATAAAAGAAGCCTTGCCTTATCTCCAAAGTGTTTCTCTCATTATCCTCAAAACTCGCCAGTGAGTGAACTCATCTTCTTCCACCATATCCAACAATGCTCAGTCTCTCAATTGCCTCGCCGGGGACGGCGGTGACTTTCCTCCGAGGAAGTGCTTCCACCTCTTCTTCGTTCCACGGTGTCAGAATCCAGCACCAAGCTTCTGCTCGCGTGCCTGCGACTATATCTTCTAATGGTAAGCCTTTGGGGGTGGTGATGATGTCGAAAAGAGAGGCGGAGTTGAAAGACATCAGAGCTAAGACGACGGAGGAGCTGAACGAGGAGGTGATTGACCTTAAAGGGGAGCTCTTTATGCTCCGTCTCCAGAAATCTGCGAGGAACGAGTTCAAGTCTAGCGAGTTTCGCCGTATGAAGAAACAAGTAAGCTTTAAAATTTGACTCTAATTTTGAAGTTTTAGAACATGTTTAGCAATTACTCTTTGGACAATGTGTTAGAATCTTGCACTGTTGGACATAGCTTCTACTATGTTTTTTTATTACAAAGGGGCTTTTCAGTTAAGACATAAAGTCTTGACCTTTGTGTTCTGTCTTTGTATAGAGTCATTTAAGTGGCCACCAATGCACTACACTAACGCTGTTATGACTCTATACAAAGACAGAACACAAAGGTCAAGACTTTATGAAACCGCTGTCGGACATTGTGTGTGTTCTAAACGTTGTCTGTGTATAGCTTGTGTCGTTTGGTTAGATTCTTGCAGTATGTTTTTATAACAAGGCTGTTTTCAGTTAAGACATAAAGTCCTGAGCTTTGTGTCATGTCTTTGTATGAAACCTTAAGTTATTGGCTTTTGGATTTTACTTCTCTCTGTTTTTCAGTTAAGACATAAAGTCCTGAGCTTTGTGTCATTTCTTCTATCAACATAAGTCCCTATAGCAAGGTTGTTTTCAGTTAAGACATAAAGTCCTGAGCTTTGTGTCATTTCTTCTATCAACATAAGTCCCTATAGCAAGGTTGTTTTCAGTTAAGACATAAAGTCCTGAGCTTTGTGTTATTTCTTTGTATGAAAACCTTATGTTATTGGCTTTTGGATTCTACTTCTCTCTGTTTTTCAGTTAAGACAAAAGTCCTGAGCTTTGTGTCATGTCTTTGTATGAAACCTTAAGTGATTGGCTTTTGGTTTTACTTCTCTCTGTTTTCATTTAAGACATAAAGTTTTGACCTTTGTGTCATTTCTTGTATAGACACAAGTGACTATAACACGGGTCTTTTCAGTTTAAGACATAAGTCCTCTCTCTGGTTTGTGGTACTAATGGATGTATGTTTTGTTTGGGTGTGTGTTGATTTATAGGTAGCGAGGATATTGACGGTGAGAAGAGAGAGGGAGCTAGAAGAAGGGATAGGGAAGAGGCTGTCGAGGAAACTTGACAGGCAATGGAAGAAGAGCATTGTAGTGAGGCCACCTCCTTCTCTCAAGAAGCTTCAAGAGGAAGAAGCTGCTGAAGAAGCTGCTGAAGCTGCCAAATCTGCTTGAAAAAACTCAGCCATTTTGTATTTGGTTCCTTGTGATGTCACTCTCTGTTATATTTGTTGCTTGAAACCATATGCTATTTTATTTGGTTCTTGTGTTGGTGTAAACTTTGTTCATCAAGTAGTTTGCATGAATTCATTCTACTATGATTTTGTTTCCTCACAGACTGAACTTCAGGGGAAAAGTAGCTGTAAGAAAGTATGATGTGTGGCTTAGAATACGTTTGAGTTTCTGTCCGTTGAGTGGTAAGTTCCGGTGAGCCTAGGAGGGGGAGAGTAAGACCATTTCTTATTGGGCTTCAAGCCCTTATAAGAACTTCATCTTCTAGTTTTTTTTTTGTTTGTTTGTCTTCTTAGTTGATTTAGTAGGAAGATGAGGCCACTCAGGGTCAGGGGTGGTATTGAAAATTTTCTTTAACAAGTACGGAAGGATGATTAGAATAATCTCAATGTATCACTGGTTCTTTTCTAGAAAGTTTGAATATGACTGATGAGAAAAACATATTTAATAATGCAGTTTTATTATGTTATCTAATAACCAACCCACTTCTTATTGACAAGATTCGATTCATATTAAGTGTTAATTTGATCCTCATCGATCACTCTGAGACAGTGAGACGCTGCTGAGACTGAGAGCATGTTTTCATTTACAAGCAATAAGAAGTTTGTACATGCTTTGCTGAGTTCTTGATCAGTGCTAGATGTGAGATGTGCATGTTCTACTGATTATTTTTTTGTTTCATTACTAGTATTTAATAAGGAAGAACGTCAAAACTGTCTGGACCACGATAATCTTTACCTAATACCCTTACATACAAGGGTTAAGTCAAAAAGATGTTTTGAAAAAAATCTATCTGCCCACAATTAATTATTGTATTCGAACAATGGTCAAAACTATACATTTTTAATCCGTATAGTTTATGATCTGTTTAACTTTGACAGCTGCATTATGCTGTTCACACCAATCAGTTTACACTTGCAGTTTTTTATGTTGCATTTCACGACCTTTACCTAGATTTATTGTGACCATTACTTTGTATCAGCAATATCAATGTCCAAATTTCAAAGCTCTGCAAGATAAGCTGTGTTCTTGGTGTTGAGTACAAGAGGCTTAAGATAAAAATGCATATATTAGCTAAAGGGGTTTCATAAGGTTTGCATATGAGAATAGCATTATATTCTCTGAAGACCTGCCTTACCAACTCCATCCATGTGCTTGAAAAGGTCTGCACAGCTTTTTATGATGCTTTTACAAAGATTAACGTATATATTCATGCAAAGATCTTTGGTAGTACTTCTGGATCACAGCATGTGACTTGCTTTTCATGCACAAAAAGCTTCATCAGTTTTTGTCATTGTCTTGATACTTTTGTGAAAAGACCAAACACTTTAGCCTCTTTTACTCAAACTACTATCTCCTTTAAAAGCAACATTAATGTAACGTCTTCTTCGTGATATGCCTGTGAAGGAAAACGATGAACAAGACCGACCCTGTTAAATTCTGAGGTTAGTTGATGCTTCTGACCTTTTTCTTTGTTCACTAATGTTACTACTCGAGTACTCGTTAAAAGGTTAGATTCAGTTCATGAAGCAAAAAGTGATTGCTTCATATCTGATTATCAGTTTTAGCATGGTTTCAAGCTTGCTTTCCTTTTAAGAAGCTTGGTTTTGTAAAATTCTAGTAAAATATATGTAAATTGATGCATCTAAAATGATTTGATGCTCTACTAAAATATCATTGTGCCATTGTCTCCATCTCCATCTTTCACTGTCTTTAGCTGTAAAATTGATGTCATCAATGAAAATAATCCAGCCACCTAAAATTACATGTAGTGGTTGATGCCTAAGAAAATTACGCGTTGGTTCATATAATAATAATACTAAAGAATGACTTCACATTTCTAAAGTGGCATTGCATTTTTTTCTTCCAATTACATATGTGACATAGGCTATGTCCCATGTTTTCTTGCAGGTTTCTTGTAATTTAATTTTAGCAGATTTACTGTTTGAAGTAAGTGCTACGCTAGAAGATTTTGAACGGTGGGTTCTTGTCTGTATTTATTTGTTTGGTTTCAGTTATTAGGTGTTTATAAGTCTTTAGAACAATTGTTAACAAACCAATAGTTAAAATACTCAACCATGCTGAAGAAAGAAATACTTCAACCATTAGTAGATAATTAATTAATTGTATGATCAAAATTACAAAATGAGTCTCCTGACCCCACTTCTAGACCTGGTTTTCTAACAATGCTGCTCCCATGAGAACATTAGAAAAAAAAGAAGTTTAGCATGCTGTTTGAATATACTCATGAACTCATCTTGAAATAAGACTATACGAGCGAGTACATTGGTCTCATTTTTTTCACTTACTGCATTCTCTTTCAGGATCCTTACTAATGCTGATGAATCTTGGGTTCTCTTAATTGTACAAGTACTAACATTTTCAAATATTGCTGAATATTGATAAGCATACACAAAGTTTAATAGTCTCATTATGCACTCCATGAAATTAAATAATTGGGTAGAATAATGTTTTCTCTGCAGGATGTACACTATGTATGTGTATCTGACTAATATAGTCTTCAGCTCGATATACATCCTCTTCACATATACAGATGATAGGGAATAAGTGAACGTTACTTTATATCAAACTTGGCTTTGAAAGTCATGGTTTAGATGTGTTGGTTAGGAACATATGAGAAGAAGCAAATCAGTTTTCAGCTGACATTGACAACCATTTTATTTTGATATATTAGATGAAAAGAATGGTTTAAAGTGACATAACGTATTAAAATCAATTATTTTAGTCTGAACCTAGTCGTGCCTTCCTTGTTTCTTTAATAATTACTGTACCTGCTTCCTCCAGTGAGATTGTGGTGTGGTCCACTCTATGAGAAACCCTAGACGGACAAGCAACTCAAATGTCTCTCTCTCTCTCTCTCTCTCTAGTCTTTTTAGAAAATATTCAAGGTTTCTCCGCTGCTTAAACATACTTTTGAACTTGTAGGATGTTATTCTTATAATGATGAAATTCACTGGCATATCACAGGTCTATCTTACTAGGGTTAGATGGAAATAGAGAATATTACATTTTAAGCACTTTTAGTGCGTGGAGTACACATTATCACCCAGATCATGATGCCTTGCAGAGTTATACGTTGTACTCTTAATGAAAACATTTTAATGATTTTTCCCAAATCACTTTATATATATAATAAAATATCATATGTTATATATAGAACACAACTGAACAGATGATACACATTAGAAACCTTGACAATTTGAGAAGCCTATTGCAGTGAAGTTATCACAGATTTGATACATTAATATGGTGGAGACGTTTCCTTATTCAGTTTCTGTAGATCTTAGAATTTGTTTCTTGAGGACAAGTTATCTTTCATTTGAAAAATTGGAGAAAACCCTATCAACTACTTTATGGAGAAGACACAGAAGAAAAAGACAAGAAGTGCCATTTGGTCCAATGCAGAGGCAGTGGGGGAGAAAAGTCTTGTAGGTTTCAAAGATGGTGGAGATTTAGATCATTTCTACACCAACCTCTCCTCTAACAAGCTCCTTCTATAATTTTCAACAAAAAAAAATGTGTGTCAACATCATGGCCTGTCAACATTACCAAACAGTATATTACATCTCTTCTCAAAGATACAAAAACCTCTCATCAAATATCCTGATATGATATATGTTGCTCCGATCCATTTCCAGTATTTTGAGACTCTTGGGCTCTTAGTTTGTTTCTATGAATCACTTATCTCACTATATATCAGTGCTCATGGCTTGATACGAAGAAAATACAACTATATATAACACCAAATACATAAGTGAGTCATGATGAGCAATTAGAAACCTATCTTTGCGTGCCAGAGGAGAGGTCTCTCTTCAACCATCCTTGAGATGACATCTGTCGTTGGTGCTGACTTCTTTTTGTAACCTTTTTTTTTGTTTGTTTTTCAGCCAATGATTAAATAATGATTTGAGTAGTCTATAGCTCCCTTGTTCAGTTGTTCTCATACACACTTATATATCTTTCTGTAGATGAAAGCGACATGGGTTAAGCGAATAAGAAAGAAGCACGTGGTGAATGGGCATTGATTAGAGAGGGAAGCTCGACTATATAAATAGAAATATAAGAAGCAGTTAGTGGTTGTGAAGAAAGGAGGCAAGCGACCAAATCTTTTTGACAGTTAAGAGAAGGTAAACAAGAAGAGGAGGAGAGACCGTTGTTAGATACAGAATCGTTCATCAAACATGGGAAGATCTCCTCTTTCAGCTGATGAAACCGGTTTGAAGAAAGGTCCTTGGTTGCCTGAAGAAGATGATAAACTCATCAGTTATATCCACAAACATGGTCATAGCAGCTGGAGTGCCCTTCCCAAACTCGCTGGTAACAACTTAAAGACTTTGATGGGGACTTAGTTCTTGTCATGTGACTATATATGTTTTATTATGTGCAGGTCTTAACAGGTGTGGGAAGAGTTGTAGGCTACGATGGACAAACTATTTGAGACCAGACATTAAACGAGGAAAATTCTCACAAGAGGAAGAAGAGACAATCTTGAACCTTCATGCAGTTCTTGGAAACAAGTAAAGAACATCTTGTAACACTTAGTCATATATGGATTGTTTTTGTTTATAGTTTACTCATTGAATAATGTTTTATTGGTTAATGATTGTGTATATAAGGTGGTCAATGATTGCAACCCACTTACCAGGAAGAACAGATAATGAGATCAAGAATTTCTGGAACACTCATTTAAAGAAGAAGCTGATTCAAATGGGTTTTGATCCCATGACTCATCGTCCAAGAACTGATGATATCTTCTCTACCTTATCTCACCTCATGTCACTCTCTAACCTTAGAGGACTTGTTGATCTTCAGCAACAGGTTCCTTTTGAAGATCAACAAGGTTTACTTAATCTCCAAGCTGAGATGACTAAGCTCCAGTTGCTAAACTACTTACTTCAACCTCCTCCTCCTCTTCCCATGAGTAGTAATAGTAACAACATTAACCTTAATGAGTTAAACATTCTTCAAGACTTCAACAACAATCTTCCATCTCTAAAAACCCTAGAGGAAACTCATTTCAGTCAAAACAGTTCTCCAATATGGTCTCATGATCCTTCTCCTTTGGCTAATGATTTGGTTCTGAACCAGGCTTCTTCAAGCCATGAGCAAGAAGTAGCAGCTACAGGCCCTGAAGATTGGCCTGATCATCTCTTTGATGACTCCATGTTTCCTTTTCAGTCTTGAGGTATGTATGTATATGTATATGCTTCCAAGGAACAAGACATGATTTGTTTAATGTTTTATTTACATGTGGAGGTTCTTCATGATGTGTGCTAGTGTCTTATAATGTACATGTGGTCTTATGTATAACTCATACATGTTGTCTATAACATTCTATATGTAAACCATATTACACTGTAAACATTAATTATATATGTAAAACTTCACTGATGTTAAAAAAATCAATCTCTCATCTACTTTACTATTTGACTCACAAGACTGTTTGGCTTTGAAATGATCAATAAGTATATATTCTATCTTCCACCAGATAATTCAATGGCGTCTTGATTATTAATTGAATCTTCACCCCAATCAAATCTCCTCTGCAACCTCTGAAACTCTTCTTGTCTTGTGACTTCAAGATTCTGCCATTCTTCCCATCTCTCTGCAAGCCCTTCTCCTTCAAGCATCCTCACAACTTCAGACATAGCTGGTCGTTCCTCTGGTTCTGCTTGTGTGCACAACAAAGCAACTTGTATCATCATCTCTACTTCTTCCTTAATGTAATCCTCTTCAAGCTTCTTATCCACAATATCTCCCAATCTCTTTTCTCTTTCCAACTTCTTCACCTGAAAAACCAAGAGATTGTTTAGTCAAGATGATGATTTACTTAACATGGTTTTCAAACATTACTTACATGGTCTAACAACAAGACATCATCTTCTTCCTCTAACCGCGAGAAATCAATGGCTCTCTGTCCTGTTACAAGCTCAAGAAGCATGATTCCATACCCGAAAACATCGGTTTTCTCTGATGATTTCCCTGTGGATATACATTCAGGTGCAATGTGACCCATTGTTCCACGGACCTGTGTGGTCACATTAGTCCTTCTAACATCTACCAACTTAGCTAAACCAAAATCACCAACCACTGCTTCAAAATCTTCATCTAATAAAACATTAGCAGCCTTCACATCTCTATGTATGATCTTTGGGTTGCAATGTTCATGAAGATACTCAAGTCCTCTTGCTGCTCCTAGAGCAATCTGTTTCCTCCTGAACCAATCAAGAACTGCTTCCCCTCGTTTAATCTCTGCATATAATCACAAAAAAAAGTTTTAAACCTCCTGAACCAAAAGAGTAGAGTTTGCTTTCTTTTTTTACCTCTTAAGCGATATGCAACACTTAGATTCTGCATGAAGGGATACACTAAAAGGCGTTCGGTTTGCGTTGTGCAGAAGCCTATAAGGCGAAGCAGGTTCCTATGAACAGCTACACTTATCATTTCAACTTCTCTCTGGAAAGCTTCGTCTCCTCCTGGACGTTCAAAGTCAGTTAATCTCTTCACTGCTACTTTGGTGCCATCTAAAAGCACTCCTTTGTATACTTTCCCAAAGCCTCCTTGTCCAAGAACGTTCTGTTCACTGAACTCATCTGTAGCTAACTGAAGCTCTCTCCATGAGAATCTTCTTAGCTGTCCAAACGCAATCCTTCTGTCCACTTCACCTGAAACTCAAAGTTGTAAGAAAGTAAGAAGACAAAACGTTTTAATAACTCCTAGTAGAGTAAAGATTGTTCACAGACCTGCAACATCTACAAACACTTCTCGTCTGTATCCTTTATGCTTATCTTTGCAGAAGAAGAACAAGAAGAATCCAAGGAGAATCACTGTGCTTCCGCTAACAACTCCAGCTATGATTCCGGTTTTTGGATTGCTTGAATCACCTAATCAGAGCAAAACATAAACTCATACATACTTGGTATCCATGCAAGTGAAGTAGAAGATGAATATGGTAGTTTTACCTGAAGGTTTGGACTCAGTTACGCAAGGGTGAGGGTAAATGCCACCACAAGTCAAGTTGTTTGCAGTGAAACTATTAAGTTTATAAAAATACAAATCAGATAATAGTGGTAAGATAAAAGGACACTGCAAGTGTATTATACATACTTGTATTTTGGAATCTCGAATAAGCTTTGAGGAATCTCACCGCTGAGATTGTTTGAGTCAAGCAAACTGCAATAAGTAGTTCCAAGCACTAGCTTTAAGGAATACTGAAGAAAACAAGACACAGAACAGAACAGAACATAACACTCACATATTAATCAGTTTTGAGAGGCCTGTGAGTGAATCAGGGATAGTACCATTTAGATTGTTCCTACTCAGAGTCCTGCTTAGTTAAGCCAAACAGATTAATCTTTTACATTTTTTTGAGCCCAAAGAGATCTCAGACAAGTTTCAAGACACTTACAGGAACTGTAAGTTCTTGAGATTACCCAAAGAGGATGGTATGGGACCAGATAGATGATTATCCTCTAAATCCAAGCTTGTCAAACTAGAAAGATTCCCAATGGTTTCTGGTATTTCACCAGTTATTCCATTTCCCTTCAATGTACTAAAAGAACACAATGATTCTTCATTTAACAAAACAAATGTAAACAGTTTTCGATATGGTTAGAAAGTAGGTAAGGTACTTACAGAGTTTTGAGAGTTTTCAAGATTCCTATCCCTGAAGATAAAGTTCCAGAGGAGAAGTTCATGTAAGACAAGGTTCTGCAAAAACCATATATAGCAAAAAAAAAAAAAGTTAATAATCTCTGAGGCAATTAACACAAGCGTTGAGGAATTATGAAACATACAGAGAAACAACATGCTTCTGTTCATCACAACTAACTTGAGACCAAGTACAAGGATCGACTTGGTTCAGGTTCCAATCACTTAGCTGTTGAGGAGATGCACGTAAGGAGCTCCTCAGAGCAAACAGAGCATCCCCTAAAACGAAGAAATTGCAAGAGTTATTAAACAAACAAAAAAATCATACCACAGTAAGCTGCCAAAGAGAAGCGAAATGATATAAATAGAAAGAAAATAAATAAAAAGGAATGAAATTTACCTTGATCATCCGGTGACACAGGTGACAATAAACAGGCAAGTGTCAAAGCAGTAGTGAGCATAAAAGGCAGAGCCATGTTTGTAAGAGCTAATCAAATTTTCAAAAAGTTGGATTTGCCATCTACAAGAACATATCTTTAAGCTTTGTAGATAAGAGTGGATCTACCAGAAAGGTATTATTATTACAGCTTCAAGCTATGTCTGACTTCATTAGAAAAAAAAAAAACGAACCTTTTTTAGTTGTCAAGAAGTTGAATTTTGGTCGGAGAATTAACCCTTTTACCTTGAGAGACTCAGATTTGGAAAAGGAGGCAAGAAAGAACAATTGGATGCTTTCACTTCCACTCTTTGAAAAAGAAACTAAACTAAAACTCTTGTCTTCTTATCTTCGCTGCGTTAACATCAGTTTTATTTGTTTTGTAGGGAAAAGTCTTTTTTTTACGCAAGAAGCCATTATGACATTCACAATTGCTGTTAGTCAAAGGAAAAACAAAGAAGCCCCGACATTGGTTGAAGAACTGCTTTTCCTGCGTGATTATTATAAAAATAAATAATTAGTCATGATGATGCTTGGAATCCCCTATATATTAATCCTGAAGCATTCATAAATGCACAACCTTAGAGAGCATGCTTACGTGTCAAGCTCACAGAGCTTCTCAGCCTTAATTTTTTAATGAACCAACTTTGCTAAGAATGAAATAATGTAACATTTAATTTCTTGTATTTAGGACTATAATATATAGACATTTTTAAGGGACTAACTCTGCTAAATATAAGACAATATATTTTCTTTCCTTAAATAAAAGCTACGGAATTACTAAATATGATTAACATATATATGTAATTAATGATTATGAATAATACATATTTTTGTGTTCTCTCTTTTTTTGTTTTATTTTAAATTATTAAAATAAATTAAACAATCACATTATCTATATAGTAAAAATTAATTTTTTTTCTTACAGGTTATATTTTTAATTTTTTAAAACGACCATAAATAACTAAAAATAGTAAAATCCCACATTGAAAATTTTATGATCAATGGTTTAACTTTTTTTTTTTCCAAATAAGATACAAATCATCATAAATCGTACGAATATGAAGTATCATTAGTTGATATTCATATTATAAATATGTTAATTTAAAAATTTCAGTGAAAAGGTTTGAGGTTAGTAGATACAAATTATAGTATTCGAAAGATTTTTGTAGTTTTTTTTATTTGCTTTTCTTAATATATTTTAGTTTGTTTAAATAATTTAACTAATTTTAAATTAGATTTATTAATAATTTAAATATTTTGAATTTTTTGTCAACTCTTAATGTTTAAAAAATATTTTTGGGATGATTTCAGATATTGGTTACAATCCAATCCAAACTGAATTGAGAAGATCAAATCGAATCCAATCCGATAATTAGTAAAATTCAAATAGGATATATGAGAATAATACCAAAATCTGAAAATACGTCACAATCAAATCAAAACCGACGAAGTCTCAAACGTCCAGACCTATGATGATTTAAGATACCAATATTTGTATTCATTATTTTATAATCGATAAATAGTGCAGTATTACAGAATGTTAAAAACCATTTAATGAGTAAATATTAGTATAAAAATTTCACCCCGCGCATGCGCGCGGGTTATCATCTAGTCTATATTATAATAGTACACTTTTTAGGCTCCACAACGCACCACGTCAGCAGTTTTGTGGATCCTATAGGTATTTTTTAAAAACTTATAATCTTGGTAAGATGATTACAAACAATGAAATATACTTTAGCCAAGTGGTATAAGGTGTTTAATTAAACATGCAAGATTGTGGGTTCAAACCACGCATCCATCATTTTTTTTTATTATTTGGGTTATTATCATATGGGCTTTTTGTTTGTAAAGTTTTTATGTTTTTTTTTATGGCTTATTGTTTTAAAGATCAAAATAGTTGGATAAACCCTAAAGCTTAACGAGTTCAAACCAAAAATAGTTAAAAATGGATGCAAAAACGAACAATAAAAAAACAAAAAAGCAAGTCTCACGCGGATGGCTTAAAGAGCCTTATAACTATCCTATTATAATATAGTTCAACCCAAAAATAATAAAAAATGAATCCAAAAACAAACCGACCAAAAAAAAAGTGAATCTCACGCGACTACCTACGTGGATGGCTTAATGAGGCTTGAATAATATAGATTAAGAGCTCAAAAAGTGAAATCATTGCACATGTTTCCTAATATATATTTTCAAAAAAATTGTATGTGAGATAAAATAAAAAAACAACAAAAATTAATTATTTTTGTTATTTATTTAATGAATATGTAATTTCTCTTACATTTTAATAACTACTATAATTTCATTGAAAACATTCCTCACCACCGATTTCAGACTCCGGTTGGCTCAACTTTATCCAAGTTTTGCTGAAGGAGCAACCCCCTTTTTTACCTTGAATTGGTCAAAATACGACCGCCCTCCAGTATGTGCTAGAAGAGCAGGGTAGGAACGGATTCCCACGGCCACAGTCGATGACGCCATAAATCAAAAGCCACATCATTTATGAACAAAACTCAAACTTACAAAAAAACATATATAAAAACCTATATAATGAAACTTAAATAACGAATGTTAACTTAATTAAGGTTATTTTCAAATTGATAAATCGTTTAATACAAATATAAATACTATAAATATAGAATTATATCAAGTTTTGATCTACGATATAAAAACTATTTACAGCAAAATAGAACACCTACGTTTACACACTAAAAACTATATTATAGCCTAACTATTCCTATATACCTTACTTCGCATATAAATAACATTTAACTCATTCCTAATATATTTCAAAAAAAAATTTGTATATGAAATAAAATAAAATAAACAAAAAAATTTAAGTATTTTTCGTTATTTATTAAATGAATATGTAATTTCTCTTACATTTTAATAACTACTATAATTTCATTGAAAACATTTCTCACCACCGACTCGAGACTTCGGCAAATAAATTCCCACAGTAGATGACGCCGTAGATAAAAATGCCACATCTTTTATGAACAAAACCCAAACTTACAAAAAAACCATATATAAAAACCGATGTAATGAAACTTAAACAACGAATATTAACTTAATTAAGGTTATTTTTAAATTGATAAATCGTTTAATACAAATATAAATATAGATTATATCAAGTTTTGACATACGATATAAAAACTATTTACAGCAAAAAAAAAATAGACACCTACTTTTACACACTAAAAACTATATTATAACCTAACTGTTCCTATAAACCTTACTTCGCATATAAATAACATTTAACACATTAGATATACAATATTTTCACTTTACACTCTTACTATATTCTTTCCATTTCATTATTTGGTGTCATTAGAAGAATCCACTAAACCACTAAATCGAAAAAAATAAACGCAAACATAATAATTTCGGCCCCGCGCTTGCGCGGGGAGTATGCAACTAGTGTTATTAACCAATTAGAATAAGATTAAAACATGTGGGCGGCTTTGTTTTCGGTTTTATAAGCCAATAAAAATAAAAAAATTGGGGCGAGAGAGGCTCGAACTCTCGACCTCAGGATTACTCAGTAGCTATGAGACCTACGCGCTAGCCAACTGCGCCACCGCCCCTTTGACAATCTCTCGCAATGTTCTTTTATATAACTGAAGGTTGTCCTTGAACTTGCTGGAGAAGTTAAAGGGTTCGATATCTGAAACGTTACAAGTCACCTATCATCATCAATAACTCTCCATTACAAGAAAAACTTGAATTCAAAAACAAGTGGAATACACAAACCCAAAATAATGATGACAATACATCAACGAAACCACATCCATTTTCTGTTCTTCTCCCTTTCTCTTGGCTTCAAGACTCCATGAACAACTTGTCCAGACAAAAACCTTACACATTAGCCGGTTATTGATAGAGTATCTGTTTGGATTTTGGATGTTGAGGGTTGTTCTTCTGCTATCTTATCTTTCTCTTCATCAGGCGCTTGCTTACTACTACTACTAGTAGTGCTCTCAAACATCTTCCCGTTCTTTGCAATAGTAAGGATAAGCTCTAGCTGCTTTCGCTGTTGATCCTATAAAACAAGCAAAACCAACTTCCATGAGCTCAAAGGAAACTAGTATAAATCGTCTTCAATTCAAACCAGACAGAAAAACGTAAAAGACAAAACCTTCTACCGATCAGACATAACAATCAGGGAAAGCAAAAATAATTAAAAAACGATAGAATCTATATATTATATAACCTGCATAGCGAGCAGAACCTTCTGAATCTCCCCAAGCTCCTTCTCTAGAATCTCTTGTTGTGCAGCTATCACTCTTGTCGCCTCAGAATTCTTCTGAGCCAAAGCTGCAGTCTTTATCCAAAACACACCAAACACATTGAGATAACATCCACCACATAAAAAAAAAACTAAACTTTATGTATAACAACTGCTACATCAAATATATACAATCCAAACTCTTAATCTCAAACACATTGAGATAACATACAACACATAAAAAAAAACTAAACTTTTATGTATTATACAACTGCTACATTAAATACATACAATCCAAACTCTTAATCTCAAACACATTGAGATAACATCCAACACATAAAAAGAACTAAACTTTATGTATAACACAACTGCTACATCAATATATACAATCCAAACTCTTAATCTCAAACACATTGAGATAGCATCCAACACATAAAAAAACTAAACTTTTATGTATAACAACTGCTACATTAAATATATACAATCCAAACTCTTAATCTCAAACACTTTGAGATAACTAACATACAACACAAAAAAAAACTAAACTTTATGTATAACACAACTGCTACATTAAATATATACAATCCAAACTCTTAATCTCAAACACATTGAGATCACAACACGTAAAAATACTAAACTTTTATGTATAATACAACTGCTACATTAAATACATACAATCCAAACTCTTAAATCTCAAACACATTGAGATAACATACAACATGTAAAGAACTAAACTTTTAAGTATGACAACTGCTACATTAAATATATACAATCCAAACTCTTAATCTAAAAAACATTGAGTTAACATAACATACAACACGTAAAGAACTAACTTTTATGTATAACAACTGCTACATCAATATATACAACCCAAACTCTTAATCTCAAAAACATTGAGATAACATACAAAACATAAAAAACTAAACTTTTATGTATAACACAACTGCTACATTTGTTGAAGCCGGAAAAACCGGATCGACATAAACGATATAAGAAAGACGGAATTAAGAAAATAGACGATTATATAAGGACATGGAAGCGAGATAAATCTCTTTCCTTAACTCGGTCTTTCTTATATTGTTTATGTCAATCCGGTTTTTCCTGCTTCAACAACATTAATATATACAATCCAAACACTTTAACTCAAGATCAGAGCTTTTACCTCAGAAACAGGTTCCTTGAGAGCTTTCCGGGTGACCCGAAACCGGATCCCCAATTTCTCAAGATGTCTGGACAGAACTCTAACAACAGTGGTCGAAGTTTTTAAATCCTCTTCGAGTTTCTCCAACCGTCGAATCAGATTAGTCCCCTCTTCGCCTTCTCTCGCTCCTTTGCAAATCCTAATCCATTGCCGTCGTCTAAGCCACGAACCAAACACGACCGAACCCAATAATCCGACAAAACCTAAAGACAGAACCTTTCTCCCAATCTCGCCGACCACGAAGTAATTCACCGCGAGAAGGGCTGCGATCACGGCGGAGGAGAGGATACAAAGAGGCTCCGCGAAGGAAACGAAGCTGCTGAAATCGAAATCATTGGAATTGGCGTCTTCTTCTTCTTCTTCGTATGATCCGAGTGATGAAGAAGAAGAAGAAGCGTGAGGTCTACGATCACTCACGATCTCGCGATTTGACCGAGGAGAGGTGATGACGTGGCGGAGGAGGAGGATAGGATTCCGGTGAGAAGTTGGTATTGATGCGACGGAGAAGCAGAGGTGGTTGTTGGTCCTGGTGATGCGGAGAGGAGTGGGGTTGGAGAAGAAAGTGTAGCGAGAAGGAAGGGATAAGGACATTATCGTCTTTTTCGATCTCTAGCAGGTGACAGTCACTCAAACTGGGATCGCTGCAAGAAAGGGCGATGACTCTCTAATCTACTGATTAACAACTTTCACTCGGCGCATGATAGCTATGTCTTACAATACGCCGTAAACAATAATGTGTACAAATTGGTTATAACCGAAATATTTTATTAAAATCATGTTTATACAATTTAAATCGACTAAAATCATTACAAATTTATCGAAATATATTTACATCCATCTAATTTAGTCTGAATTGTATGTCTAGTTGTAGTAATTTTTTCAAGATAATTTATAATTAAACTAAAACCTAAAATATTTAACTTTTAATGCACGATAAAAACTTAATACTTTATTAGCTTTTAAGGCCATAAACCCCGGTTTCTAAATTTTTTCTTTTTTTTTTACATTTTTCGGTTTAAAACACTCTTATATATTGCTCAAAAAACACTCTTTTATCTTCTAACCAAAATTTACAATTTTAATTAAAAAATTGGGATTAATCACGGTTTAAATTCCAACTATTATGACTAGTTAATAGTTTTTTTATAAAATGCCAGTAGTGGCCTAGCGATTTAATTTCTTTTGAACAATGCATCCACCTAATTAGTAGAGTGTAGTTGACTTTCTTTCTTTAGTCAACACTTTCATTTCACATTTTGTAGTGTAGCGAGAACTAAAAGTCTAAAACCCAAAGGCTCACCATATGTATATTTTAATCATATAAGACTCATACCAAACGATATGAAACTTATAAATACCAGTCAAGATTCCAAATGTTTACGCGCCAAGTTTATAAAAAAAAAACAGGAGGGAACAAGTCATAGAGAAAGCTTAACAGAAGATGGGACATAAGCCATATTACGAATCCACTCTTTGTTTTTGTAAGCCAATCAAAGGGGCTTTTATTGGTATGGCATGTAACGCATTGGCCTTCTGAACCTAGGAGCTTTCCTGCATACACATTTACAAAAGACAAAAAAACGATTAATAAAGATGTCTTTGCTCTGACCACAATACATGTCTTTGGTGTTAAACAAAACATACCCATATCCATATGGAGAATACATGTACGGAGACACAAAAGGTCTGCGGAACCGGTAGCCCATGTACGGGTTGAATCGTCTACCACGGAACTGTTTCAATCCAGGAAGGTTTGTTCTCTTAGGCAGCACCTACAAAGAAATAAATTTAAAGCCAAGCAAATGAGTTTTTGGTTCTGTCTTTGTAGTAGTAATTAAGAAACTTTTGTGTACTGTTGGACCTTTAGTTGACGACCATGTAACTCTGATTCATTTAGTTGCAGAGCCTCTTGTATAGCATCAACTTCCACAAACTCGACATAAGCAAATCCCTTTGGTTGCCCGAACTTGTCTGTCAGAATTGTCACACGATGGACAGTCCCGCATGATTGGAAATGTTGCTGCACTTCTTCAGGTGTACAAGCGTAATCAACCTGCATAGTGAAAATATGCGGTTATAGTACACAACAAAACAAGCATTACCCATTAGGAAAACAGAGATCAATCCATCAGATTAGCAAGTTCATAGAAACAAGAACACATAAGCAAAGACATTGCCTGTTGACCTTCCTTCATCAAACACACGCTCTCTACCTTTCGTTCTTTCCACGTGTGCAAAAATTTAACAAGAAAGCAGAGTGGAAATCTAGTCTACTTGAATTTGAGTAGCCACTATGACAATCATCATATTTGTTAGCACCAAACAATAGCCTCTCACCAAATCTCTGCAGATAGCAGATGAGCGTCTTCCCTGTAAAGGATCCAGCATCTTTGTATAGCTATTCAAGGGCTGTCTCCTCGTGATGGGTTGCAAAATACTCCACCTAGCTACTTTCCTCTCTACACATTTCATTTCCTTCTCAAGGACATGACTCTTTTTCCTCTAAACGTATTAAAACTTCCTTTGTCCTTTTCTATTTTTTCTTTTGCATTTTCTTTTCGATTTTTTTAAAAGAGAACAGAGCAGATCTTTTTGAACTTTTTACAAGAAGAAAGTAGAGACCCCACTAGACCTAACTGACAACCCAGAGCTAATAAGAACTTCAGCTATGAGAACAATCCTGCGATTGTAGTGAGTGAGCAAAGTCATAAGAAAAGCAAAATTCAGCAAAGAAAAGCAAAACTCACTACAATCTCCCCACTTTCTACCATTCATTATTTTCCGTCTAATCTAGACTGATCACTCACCAGATTATCCAATGCACGCCACAACACCAAAGATTGTGCCCTTACACTATAATTGATGGTTGAAACTGATATATTTAACCACTAGATTTGATAGTATTTCAAGTAGAGAATACAACAAGAAGAGAACATGATCAAGTTGTAGACTCAAAGTCCAACTATTATACTTCTAACATCCAATATTAAAATCTAGTCATCTACGCACAACTCAAACTCTAGGTGAATGCCCACTAAGTCAGTAAGAGCTAAAAACCAATGTTCTAAAAATCGCTAGGCAGTGGTTAGGCGTCGCAGATTTTTTTTGAACGCCTAGACTGATTTTTTAATTTAAAAAATTGTTTCGCTCATACCCGATTTGCCAGCTAGGCAAACCTCGATCGATTTTTAGAACACTATAAAAAAAACTATGAAATAATCAAACAAAAGCTACAATATTTCAAAGAAGAGTAAAGTATTCTTACATTGCCAACAAAAACAGACCTAGCATCAACCTCCTCCTTCCCTGCTTGATTTGCAGCTACAGTAGCAGGATCTGTAATTAAAAAGAAATTCAAAAAAAAAAAAATTGAAGTGAAGAAGCAATAACTTAAACTCACAGTTAAATATTCAAAAACGCTAATTAACATCAGACAAAGAGAAGAAATTAAAAACCTTGAGCTCCCATCTCTTTCTCAACCTTAGCCTGCATCTCACGCAAAGCAGCAGCTTCATCCTCCATCTCCTTCAACCGTTTCTTCATCTCATCCAACTCCTACAAAATCAACCAATCATCATCATCATACAGTAAGTGTAAGAGAGAGAGAGATAGCAGCAGACCTTAGCAGCGTCCTCATCGGCAGCAGCCATGTCCATATCGGGATTAGGAGCTTCCACGTCACCATCCATCTCTCCGACGTCGGGAATCTCTCCCCCGTAAACCTCGTGCTCCTCTTCCTCCATCGCCACGTTTTGCCTTTTTTTTTTTTTTTTTTCTCTTTTTCTTTTTTTTTTTTGTTTGTCGGAAAGAAAAACGCTTAGGGCACTTTTAAACTGATTTGGGATAGCGACACGTAAGTATTCGTATCTGAGCCAATTTATTGTATCCTAATTGGGCCTTTAGGGCCCAATTAAATGAGACTCAAGCTTTATCATTAATTTTCAATTCGAGTCCTTGTATTTATCTGAATCTACATTATCCTACTTTAGTATAATCCCAAAAAAAAAATAAGTATAATCCTAATGGGCCTTTTAGGCCCAATTAAAAGATACTCAAGCTTTATCATTAATTTTCAATTCGAGTCCTTGTATTTATCTGAATCTACATTATTCACCCCCTATAACTTTAGTATAATCCCAAAAAAAAAAAAAAAAAGTATAATCTTAATGGGCCTTTGAGACCCAATTAAAAGAGACTCAACCTTTAATCATTAAATTTTCGATTCGAGTCCTTGTATTTATCTGAATCTACATTATCCATCCCCTAACTTTAGTATAATCCCAAAAAAAAAATATATATATAATCCTAATGGGCCTTTAAGGTCTAACTAAAAGAGACTCAACCTTTAATCATTAAATTTCGATTCGAGTCCTTATATTTATCCGAATCTACATTATCCATCCCCTAACTTTAGTATAATCCCAAAAAAAAAAAAAGTATAATCCTAATGGGCCTTTTAGGCCTAATTAAAAGAGACTCAACCGTTAATCATTAAATTTCGATTCGAGTCCTTGTACTTATTTGAATCTACATTATCCGTCCCCTAACTTTGTCGTTGTTTCTAAGTATGGATGATCCGATTGAAAACACAACCGTCCGATTTCAATTGGTATTGCGATTCTGAGAGAATCTCTATCACTCTCGATCGCTTGATTGGTTCCTTCAGGTAAGCTTTCGAATCCTAAATCGTTTACTTGTCTTATTGGCTTTTCTGTTAAGAACAAAAAGATCGAAACTTTCTTTGTCGGGGGAACAGAACAAAAAGGCTGTTCCTTGTCTGAATTTTACGAAGTGGGTTTTTAATTTGAGTTAAGAAATGAAATGGGTTGATTTGGTTTTAGATCAATTTGCTGGAGAGGGAGAGATCTAATGGCAGGAGCAGGTGGATTCGTTGAAGCTGATAATGCAGAGGCAATCATAGCTAGGATCGAAACTAAATCGACCAAGATCGAAAGCTTACTCAAACAGTATCTACCTTCTACCTTAAAAGTTCATCTCTTTTTGTCTTTTCCTCAGTTGATGAATTTTAATTTTTTTTGTGCAGGTATAAACCTGTAGAAGCTCTGAAAACAGCTCTTGAAGGTTCACCTCCAAAGACTAAAGATGAACGTTGCAAGGTCTCTGTTTCCTCTTGCGTCTTTTTTTGTTCGTTACCAACAATGCGGTTTATGATTATAAAAAAATGGTTGTGATAATTTGCAGTCAGCTAATTGGATCGTTGTGCATAGAGCTTTAATGGCTATAAAGGATATTGAAGGAATGCTTAATGCTCTTGATGTTGAGTATTACGACATTCTCATGAAGTAAAGCCTCTTGTCTCTTATACGGTCGTTTCTTGTTTGTATTGGAGATATAAATAAGGCTTAGAGCAAAATTCATGTAACATGGTTAGGTTTTGGTTACTTTACATTGAGCTTAAGCTTCTTTGTTTGTTTGAATGTTGTGGAACAGGTACTTATACAGAGGGCTATCCACTGGGGACAGACCTACATGCGATCAGTGTTTGAAGATTCATGAGAAACTCACTGAGAGAGCTGGTCTCGGTTGCATTCTCCGTTGTCTTACTGATACCATCAACACCGTTTGATCATTGTATTTATTGCCACCATTGTATTACTTTAAAAAGACATGAGTTCTTGGTTGATAATACAAGGATTTGAACATGCACTTTCAATAACCATATGATCATGTCACAATGATACTGAATCATATCTCATAACCAGGAAACTTAGAATCTACGGGGGACACAAGATCGAACCAGAGACACGCTGGTCCAGCTAATCCCCTGAAAAGCGAGTAGTCATGTTCTGCTTCTCCCCTTGTCACACTCACAAGCTCTCTCGCATCACGACATAAGTAACTCGCAAACGCTTTTGCTCTCTCTTCGTACACAGCATCCCCCGTTAACTTATAAAGCGACAAGAAAGCATAGGCGTTACCAGCAACTCCATCAGCTAAACCTACCTTCTTCACCAAGCCACTCTTCCACACTACTTCTCCAGCTTCAATAGCTGCTTCACGAAAATCCCTCTCCTTTGGAAACACCTGAGATGCTTTAGCCAAAGTAATGGCCATGCCGGTCGCACCGTGGGCCCATTGGACCAGCTTATCTCTCGGATTACCTTCGCTGCACGGGTAGTTCCCGCTGTTTGGGAACCTATTGCTCATCATGTACCTTAACGTCCCTTGCACATCCTTCACAGCTTCTTCTGCTAATGGGAAGTGTAACAAGACGTGTAAGATTCCTGCTAAGCCATTCGCTGCACCCCAGAACCGTGTCCCATGGAACCTATAAAACCAAAGAAAGATGAGTTTATACTCTTGAGACAAATGCATCGGAAATTCAATGGGACCTTAAGTAATATATAAAAGATTATGATCATTCCAATAATCACCAATTGTTTTTAAGTTGGAAACTCATAATAAATCTGAATCTAACAATGAAATTAAGTTAGGAACGCTTGCCTGTATAACAAAGGGCAAGCTTGATGATCTGCTGCACCAACACGTCCACCTGATAAGATGGCAGAGACAATAGGCGATAAGAGATGGTCAGGAACAGTGCCTTCACCGAGGTATCGGTTTAGGAACAAAGCAGCCCAGAGGAAACCCGCTCTTCCATAGAGAAGGTCATATGACATCCCAAATCCTCCTTCCTCTGGTCCTGCTGGTAATTCTCTTTCTTCTGCTAGCTAAACAATTTTATAGAAAGAAAAAACATAATCACTATAACATAACATACTGTCTTATTGTATCTAGTGTTGATTAAACTACAATGGTGGTTTATCACGTAAGAGTTTAGATCAATTTCAGTTTATAAAACAGAACAAAATTATTATATTTATATCAGTGCTAGCCTATAAAACAGAACATTATTATTCCATAATTAATCTAGCTTGAGGCTAGGTCAGTGTGTTTTTAACACGAAATCTGAACCGAACCCTAACCGAAAAACAAAAATACTTTAGCTCTTACACCATTTCTAATGTATTTTGTCATTTCACCTCTAAAATAGAGGAATTTTATAATAGAAGTGAATTATGAAGTGAAATTGCTCTAATGTATTCCTGTAAAATAGTAATCTTTAAATGTAAAATAAAAAAATAGAGAAAAAAATAGAAGTGGATATAAACAATTTCACCTCTAAATACTATTATAGAGGTGAAAGATAGCAATGGATTGGAGACGTTCTTAGTTCTTTTTATTTTGAATTATTTTTAGATAATATAGATGGTTTAGCTAGTTTTTAAATTAGATTTTTAATAATTTATGTATAGTTATAAACTCGAAAGAAACAAATCCAATCTGAAGATCAGTAAACCCTAAATGAGAATAAAACCTAAATGAAAATTATCTGTATAATATCAACCAAAAATTCAAATCGAGCCCAAACATTACACCAAAGCCCATGCCTACTTGAGGCTATCATTGTCACATGAGATAGGTATACTTAAACAACTTCTGTCAGAACGTGGTGAAACTAAAAGGTGAAGTAGTTACTAGTGAAAAGAGATCGGTACCTCAAGGAAAAGACTGAGAAAGAGGTCAAGCTTTAATTGGTCCCCTCTGTAACTGGCTACGATTGCACCAAGCGCATACACTCCTCCTCTTCCACATAAAAACGTCACGTGCCTATATTCATAACCATAATCAATCCAAAAATCTATTAGAAAACGACTTAATCATTATACCTGTGTGTAGATATTATTCCACAAATTGCAAATTTTCATATTATGTGTTATCGTCAATAATTGTTTCAAAAGTGACATTTTTGTAATAATACTAATGAAATTTTGTTTTCAGAATATTATTTTTTCGAATATGATATCTTAGATGTTGTCACCTGGTTGTGGCGCGTGCAACGTCAGCACACGTGTCAATTATCTCGGCGCAAGTTAGCAGATCTTGATGGTTCCTCGTGACCTCGTACGACTTCAAGCAAGTGAAAGCTGTGCCGAGTAGTCCTGTGTACACAGTCGGATCCAGCACCAGACCCGGATCCGAAACACCGCCTTTCCACGTAGCCTCCACAACCTACACATACATACATACATCCACCGATAAATATTACTCTAGCTAGACCTAGCAGTATGTGGTGGTCTCACCTGGTCCTTGAGTAACGTTGCTGCTCTAAGGAAAGTATCGGTAGAGAGAAAGCTTGTGGTCGGAGACTTTGGTAGAATAAAATGATCAAGATCGCCGTTCTTGTTTGTCTCTCCGCCGTTACCATCATCGCCGCATCTCGCTTGCTCCGCCGATAACTCTACCGCCGATGATAACATATCTCTGTCTCACTCTCGATCTTGATACCTTAAAGAGAAATACGTACGCTATCTTATTATATAAAATATCTTTTCCTTCTTGAGTCTTAACAACAGACGCTATTTATACAGCTATGCAGCTTATGATTCTTTTTTTATTGGTAACATTTACTTCCCTAACCATAAATAAAACGTGGGTGAGGCCAGAATACTTCAGAAACCAAACCATTAGACGATAAAATCATTACTGAACTCCCCAGGACCCCCTCCTAACTATTATGTGGTAGCAAAAATATTTATATATTTGATTGTAGTATTTATGAGTTTGACTGAATAGCCTAGAGTAAACCTTTAGAGTAAAATTTGTTTTAGATGAGTAGTTTAATGTAATTTAATGTAAAGTATTCTTTTTTGGTTTTTTGTGAATTTGTAACGTAAAACTTTTCTTTTCTTTTTTGTGGAGTACACTTTTATTCCAGTTTTACTTTTGCTGTTTCATTTCTTTTTCACTCATTTGCACTAATTTTTATTTCTCTCAATTACTCAAATTTGGCCAGACACACCCTATGGTTAGGAAGAGTTAAATCTTTTTTTTTGTAACATGGAAGAGTTAATTTGTTACTTTCTCTGTTTTTAAATGTCATATACATTTTTTTCTTTTTACAAATGTGTCACTTTATAATTTCAATGTTTCATACATAATTTCTTTTTTATCATTTTAATTATTTAATAGATATTTTAAAATTTATTTTTATTTAAATAGTAATTTATATTAGATGAGGAAATATTAGTATATACCTAGTTTCTTAATTTAAGTAAAATATATATTTTATGATGAAATAGAGAGAGTATGGAATTATATATAAATTGTATCTACAGATGCAGTTGTATATAGACTGTTGGCCCACTAAAATAAAATTGAATGTCAGTAATTCGATTGAATCTAACTTGATTCGATTGCATGTATAATTTCACGAACTAAACACGTATAAACTTTAGATCCTTTTTCGTTTGTTCATAAACTTTGAGTCGGTTTACTTTTTCTTATTCAGTATGGTTTAGTTCCACGTGGATCAGTTTTGAGTTCACTAATGTCGCCGTCTCTGATTAATGTATTTGTTAGTTAGTTTGGTGCCTCGTAATTATGGGTCCTACACCCCACCAGTCACTAAATACGTTTAATCAGTGACTAAATCTCTACGAAAACCAAAGTTTTTGTGCCAGAAACAGAGTAGAAAAACAAATACTAAAAGCAAAGGTGGGCTCGGCAGTATATGACTCTTTCTGGCTGCAAGACATGAAGGTTATGTTATACACGTGAACCGGTTGGCGAGTGCTCACGTGTCGAGATCTTGTCGGCTCTATCACTTTTACAAGACCAAACTCTGTCGTTGGATCTGGCTATGGGGTATGGATGGACAGGAAGGACGGTCGATGCTATAAAGTAAACTTTTTGTTGGTAATACCATCCAAGGATTAAAAAGCTAATCGAATCTATAATCTGCTTTAATAAACGGAGTATTATCCAAACCGGTAAGTGGGTATGGGATTCTTGTCAACTACGAATTAGACAATTTTTTAGATATATGGATGTTGACCTCCCAGAAGAAACTGAGTAAATTGCAATTTATCGAACATCAATCACTAGATTAGCTGACCTGGAAACACGTTTGACAAACGTGAATCATGTTACATACCTTCACGCGTATATTATAAGTAGAAACAATACAATTAAAAACCAACCAATGATAGTTTAATAGTTATCTCTTTAGATTTGATGTATACTCACCTCAGTTACAAGTTTGTTTTGTATTTTATTATAATAAAAAATTAAACCTTTGATCACAAAGTTTTCACCGTGGAATTTTAATAGTCTTAGTAATTTATTATCGTTTAAAAAAATCAAAATATAGCATATAAAAATGTAAATTTTAATTATATAGTTAATGTGATTGTTTATTTTCTTAAGAATATAAATTTAAATAAATATGAAGGAGGATATAAAAATTGTTATCAAATATTTATTATTCAAAATCATCAATTATCATATATGTTAACCATATTAGGTAATTTCGAAAATTTTATTTAAGGAAAGAATATATAATATTATTTTGTACACTACTAATAAATTTGATAGTTAGTTTAATAAAAACTATAAGATATGTTTAGATGGACCAATCATTTTTCTAAGGTTTCTAAGAATCATTATGGTGATGACACGTGACTACCAAAACATGTTGTAATATTTCTCAAATAATATATAAGAGATTAGTTGAAAGGTATCCAAATTCCATAAATTCGATTTGGGTAATGTATTATATTTTTTTGGCTAATCCACTATATATTACTAAGTGTGTTCCTTCATGCACTAAAAAAAATTACAATTAACTCCATTTTTTTTTTGAACAACATACAACTAACTCCATAAACCATCAGTTTAATAACACTCTTGTCAGATTAATGGTAATTCTACAAACTAAAAAAAAAAAGTTCATCAAACTATATTGGGTGTAGGTGTAACTATGCCCAACTTTGACGATTATGCTTTCCTAAGCGAGCCCAGTTCCTACTTCCTACTGGCCCAACTTTCCTTTTTTTTCTGTGGACGACGGCCCAACTTTCCTTGAAATTAAATAATCTCTGATTAAATCAATCAAATAATAAACGGTTTTCTACAAACCAAACCGAATCGAACCACTCATAAAAACGAAAAAAGAAACTGAGAAAGGCGAACCTTCTCCTCAACGGCGCGTTGCTGACACGCATACGTACACAAAAGACGAGTCAGGCGATCTCTCACTGAGAAGGCGTAATCGATCCTCCGCAGAGAGAGAGAGAGAGAGAGAGATGTGGGTGTTCTACTTGATCTCGTTGCCTCTAACCCTAGGATTAGTCGTATTCACTCTTCGTTACTTTGCCGGACCTGAGATTCCTCGCTACGTTCTGATAACCGTCGGATACACCTGGTTCTGCTCCGTCTCCGTTATCATCCTCGCTCATGCCGACATCTGGACGGTGAACATTTGCTTTTCCATTGTTTACATACTCTTCGATTGCGTTTTGAGTGGCGGTTACGATCGAATTGTTAGTTTACGAGCAGAATAGCTTTGCATCTGGATTATATAATGGGAGACAAATTCGTAGCTAGATAGGTTTATCCACTTATCACCAATTTGTTTTAAATTTGAAGCCGAACTGATTTAACATGGTATAAGAGCTCAAAGACTCATCATCAAGGGGCACATTAGAGATCATAAGTAGTATATAAGATAGATAGGTCAATCAACTTATCACCAATTGGTTTAGGTTGGAAGCCAAACTAATTTAAATATCAGAGCTCAAAGAATCATTGGCATATTAGAGATCATAAATAGTATATAAGATAGATATGACAATCCACTTATCGATGTTTGAATACGGCTAAAGGAATTTGTAATTGGTGTCTAATATTGTGAAAGACTAACTCAGGTGAACTATCAGATTAGAGAATCATTGGTCTTTTTTTTTTTTTGCAGACACTGTCACTGCCACCTAATCATCCTGAGAATGGTGCTATTTCCTTCTTGTGGAGTTGGTCATACTGGAGTACCTTTCTGCTCACCTGGTATGAGCTTCTCAAATTCCTTAAGTGCTTTTGCTCATACACTTTGTCATTCTCCATCCAATGCTTGCTAATTCAGTATAATGTGCCATCCCTTTGATCAAATCCATTTCTTAGCATGAGAGGAATGTGTTCCATTTGTTATCAATAAATTTACTTTCATGTGTTTCTGATGTATATCTATTCTTGTTGGTAGTAATTCAATTGCGCCCTTAACAATACAACGTCATTGTTTTGTAGCTATTAGGTTGTATCATTTATCTACATCTTTTATTAAGCTATGTTTCCTCTAAGCAGGGCGGTGGTGCCACTTATTCAGGGTTTCGAAGATGCTGGAGACTTCACCGTGTCAGAGAGACTGAAGACTAGCGTGCATGTCAACTTAGTTTTCTATCTAGTTCTCGGATTCGTTGGTCTTCTTGGTCTTATCCTTCTCATTATGATGCACAGGAACTGGTAAAATGTCCCTTCATGACCGAATCTGTTTATATGTTGGCTTTCTCTTAGAGTTTGCTTAGTGTTGCTACTGAGTCGCTCATCATTTAGCACTATATGGCAGTTGCGTTAGTTTATGGAGTATTTGACGTGGCTTTCTTGTATGTTAACAGGAAAGGGAGCATTCTTGGTTATGCTATGGCGTGCTCAAATACCTTTGGGCTGGTCACTGGCGCATTTCTTCTTGGCTTTGGCTTGAGCGAAATTCCTAAGACCCTTTGGAGGAATGCAGATTGGACCACCCGCCAAAAAGTTCTCTCGCACAAGATTGCCAAAATTGCTGTGAAACTTGATAATGCCCATCAAGAACTTTCAAATGCGATTGTAGTAAGTATTATTTGGGTTAAGCAACCTTTTCTCATTTGCTCTGATATGCCATCTCTGCTTCAGAGTTGATTATGTATGCCATCTTAGATTATGACTTCCTCATTATGTATGTCACCTTAGATCTCTTCACGTAGCTAAGTACCTTAAGGTTTTAGTAATCCAAATAAGTCCTTAAGAAATGTGGCACATTGTTGTTTGCTTGTCAGACTTTTAATCACGTCATAACCCTTGCCTTGTTAGGTTGCTCAAGCGACTTCTACGCAGATGTCCAAGCGTGATCCTATGAGACCATACATGAATGTGATCGATGCTATGCTGACTAAGATGGTAACTCCCCCCAATCCTTATATTGTGAACAGAGGGTTGTGATTCTCCAGTTTTAATGATGACTCTCTATATATCAGTTTAGGGAAGATCCATCATTTAAGCCTCAAGGTGGTCAACTGGGTGAAAACGATATGGACTATGATACAGATGAGAAATCAATGGCAACATTAAGGCGGCACCTTCGAAATGCTAAAGAGGGATATTATAGATATAAAAGGTATGAAGAGCTTTCTAGTGGCCCTGATGTAATATCATATAAGAATTTAGAAGGAAACCCGTTCAATTTAATCGACTTAGTCTTTACTCATGTGTCACTATGGCTCTTTGCAGTGAGTATCTGACGTATGTTACAGAGGCCCTTGTTCTTGAAGACACAATGAAGAACTATGATAGGCGTGATTCAACTGGGTGGTTAGATTTTTTGTCCTTCATCTCTCATACCACATATATAAATCTCTGTCGTTTATCTTTAGCGTAAACATCTTTGTTGCACCAATTTTCAGGAAATATATTTCGAGCTTCAGAATTAGTCGAAGCGGAAAAATGGGGAATCTTCTTGATACATTGGGTACGCTTATTTATATATTTTTATACTTCGCTTTCTGAATCTGCTAAAAGCGTAACTGAAGTATAAAAATTTATAAAGATACTCACCTCATAAAGTACAAAAAGTATGAAAACATCCTTGAAAAGAGTTGCTAATTGGATTATTCATTGGTTAAAAGCCTGTCATGATAATACTTTTGCTACTTGCTGCTATTGGCAGAATTTATATGGAGGTGTATGCTGAAGAAACAAATTCAAATGATGTTGGCAATAGTTACGGGGATTATGTCAGCTGCAATTATTTTAGCTGAGGCAACTCTCCTTCTTAGTAAACTGGACTTATCCCTCTTCTCAATCCTTATAAGGTTTGTCAAATCCGATGAACTGCTAGTGCAGGTACGTTGTACTCTACATTTTAGGTTAAGTCTCTTGTTCCTTTATAGTAGCAAATGGTTTTAACTTTCCACTTACATCCTGGTCATTTTGGTTTCAGGCATTTGCTTTTGTACCGTTGGTGTATATGTGTATATGTACATATTACTCACTCTTCAAAATTGGGATGCTGATGATTTATTCCTTGACTCCTCGACAAACAAGTTCTGTTAATCTACTAATGATTTGCTCGTAAGTGATAATTTATCTACTTTTTTATAAGCAAAAACAAGTTAGATGCTTATAAATGTTTTACATACATCTCTCTAGGATGATTGCTCGATATGCGCCGCCAATATCATACAATTTTATTAATCTCATTCAACTTCGTTCCGAGACTATATTTGAGAAGGTATACTTATAAATCTCTCTTTGTACATTTCCTGGTCTTAGAAGTCTTAAGGAGCCGTGCTATAACTGCGTTTTAAATGGTGGTTGTGCAGAAAATGGATAGAATCGATGACGCTGTTCCAGTCTTTGGACAACGGTTCAATGATATATATCCTCTCATAATGGTTATCTACACACTACTAGTTGCAGGCAATTTCTTTGATCGCGTATTTAATTACTTCGGTAGCTGGAAAAGATTTAAGTTTCAAACAGAGACCGACGATATGGACGGTTTTGATCCTTCAGGGTTAATGATTTTGAGAAAAGGTAACAACCATAGTCATCTTTTTCTACATTGAGTGATGCTTGACAACTCGTGTTTTATGTAATTCATGTTTCTTTTTTGTTATAATGGTTAAGAACGGACATGGCTTGAAGAAGGACAAAAGGTGGGAGAGCTTGTTCTTCCATTAACAAGGAACTTCAACGATGTTGATGACATTGAACCAGGAAGCAACTTCTTTGTAAGTATATGTCAGCTTCAAACCAATCTTGATCTTTGTTCCAAAGCCTGACTATGGTTTCTTTGTGGCAGAAACATTCTTCAGTTGAAATGAACATGTCGTCCAGCTACGACACAATAAAAGGAAGTTCATCAAATGATGATATTTCCCGTAAATACGGATCAGCTAGAGAAGCAATTACTAACAAATATGCAGCCATTAGAGAATAACAGAAAAGATACTCACCATCTTCTGTCACAAAGTCAGAGAACATGGCTTCAGCTAAAGTGTCTTTACTCCAAACAGACAGTTCGGGGACAAGTTATGGTGAAGGAGGAGGATCAGGGGAGCCATCTTCTCGTTTGGCTTCAACATGGAGAAACATGAAACAAGGAATCCAGAGTTTTAAAGAGAATGTAACCACCAAGAAGTTTCTTCCACTGAGGCAAGGTCCTGAAACAGCAACAGTAAGTAGCACAAGAGTGATGAGTTCATCAATGCTGCAGTCTCTAGATGAGATATTCCAGAGATTGAAAAACCGGTCAGTAGAACATAGACACTACCTCGATAATGATGAAGTTTGACTATCATTGTAAAGTGATTAAGAGATTGGTAAAAGCTGAGTGAAAGAAAGCAGAAAGTAAGCACTAGATGTGTTCACCATAGTATAGAATGTGAAAAATAAAATGCTAATTTGAAATGTTAGAAATGTCATAACTGAATATTTGGAGTTGAAGAGTGGCCCATTTTTTTGTTGTTGTGGGCTTTATATGCTGACAGTAATTAGGAAAATGTTATATACTATTGGACTGTATCTTTATATACTGTTTGAAACCAGCAGATACCTTAGCAAAGGTCTGCTTACTCTCCGAGCCGAGCCCACGTACCCTCTAAGTTTTCTAGCTAATGAAAGTTTCTGTTGCTCAGAAAAAAAAAAGAATACATCATAAACAAGTCTGTTGATAATTTTTCTTTCTTAGGGATAGAAAATTCGATTTTAAACAAAAGAAAAAAAAAGGGATAGAAATTCGATTATGCTTTAGCACAAAATAAAAATAACACGTGAATGAGATTGCAAAAAAATATAAAAATAAATATATGATTAAAAATCACGGATTGGTAGCTTTTCTTTAGTCAAACTGAAATTGTAAAAGAAACATTTTCATACTATCAGAAAAATCATTAATTTTCCACCATTAGACCCTTTTTTTTATCTGTAACTGTACACAAATCACAAAAAAAGAAAAATATCTGAGTGAACAAAACGTCAATTAGTTAAAACACGCGTTGCCGTGAAGTAGTAACCAACCCTCCGACGTCACCACCACCGCCTCTCCCTCTCAGATGAAGCAACTTCCTCCAAAAACCACTCTTCTTCTTCTTCACCGTCGTCTTCTTCGAACCACTAACGACATACGAATCACCACTCGGAGCATGAGCCATAGATCTGCTCTTCTTCAATCCTTCAATCAGATTACCACTCACCGCGAACGTCATCGACATCGAACCAGCTCTCCGGTGATGTTCCTTAACCGCCGAGGGAGAAGACGAGACGGTTGTGGTGGTGGTGGATGAGTGATTCGATCGGTGGTTAATGAAGTAGTGAGACGTCGTCGTATTGGGGAGGCGAGAGAGTTTATCTCGTAAACAAGAAGGGCATACTCCACTCTCCCCTTGGTGCTTGTGTTTTCTGCAGTCCATTTTTTTTTCTTCTTTAGTCTTCTCTCTTCGTGAGGTCTGTGTGGTTTATATAAATTGCGCACACGTACGCGCACGTGTGTGTGTTATTGCCACGTTTGCATCCATGGCGGTATAACCGAAGGATGGTTTTTCGCAGAAGTTACACCTTTGACGTTTTAGTAAAATGACCATTTAATTTTTATAAAATGACTTTTTTTTTATTGTTTACGTTATTAAACTAAAATGATTGGGTAAAAGATAATGATTGTTATTTTTTTTTTCTTTTTGTGATTGTTGTTTTTTTCAGTCAAATTGAAGAAAATGATTGTTATTCTGTTAAATATCTAAGTATTATGTGGTATCTATCATCATTGAAAATGTTAGGAAAGAAAAGAAATGTAAACACCATAGCTTTCATCAAATACTTTTTAGTTGAATACTCCCTATGTTTCAATATAAGTGTCACTCTACAGCTATGCACACGGATTAAGGAAACAATTAATTTTACATATTTCCTATATAAAAATACAATTACCCATACACCTAACCATATTTAAACCAATAGAAAAACAAATTACATAATAAAATTAATAATTTTTGCATTGAAAACCGAAAACGACACTTATTTTGTAACATAAAAAAATCTCTACAACGACACTTAATATAAAACGGAGGGATTAGTAAATTGTTAACTTGCGAAATCTAAATTACTTTTTAGCTTACTTGCTTGTACGAAAACAGGTCTAACTATGGGATATAGTTTAGTACTTTTCAATTTTGGAATCACTAGCTTTTGTTTGTAATTGATAAAAATGTACTATACTTTTATTTTGTAATTTTTAATTAAAATTCGATTTTGTAATTTATTTAAATCATTTATATTCATATATATATATATATATATATTTTTTTTTTTTTACTTAACTTACATGCGGTTAACATTCGTTTTGTTTATGTCGTTAAAAGAAACATTCGTTTTGTTTTTTATTTGTTTTGTTTCAAGCAACATCTCTTCAGTTTCATTTCATTAAGAAAGAATGTCCACAGAATTTTAGCAGTTAGTTAACGAAGATTAATGAAGAGATGGAAGTGTAGACACGAACAAGAAGGTCAACAAAAGAAACGTAATGAAAGGGTGAAAACGATATATGGACGGTTTGTAATTTAAAGTTTTAAACAAACACTCAACATGAGACTTATAGGACCCACTACTTGTTAGGTATCATATGAACGGTGACCGTGGCCCATGGTACTCGGCCTAGGACTCGCTTCTCACGCCTAACCAGAAACCACACTCGTGCGTGCATTCAACTACGTCTATATTTTCGCACATTCAGTTACGTAACTAATTGATTTTTGAAGAATGTGCGCCGTAAACTTCAATTTTTTGCGCACGTGAGAGTGTAGTCAAAAAGGTCGACCGCAGGTTCATGGAAATTGAAATATCTAGAAACTCGTACGGTTCATGCTCGTGGGAATGAGTGATGTATTTTTGGACCGGACTACAAAGTAGATCCTCTTGTTAATTAAAACACATAATCCGGAAAACAATATTTATTCGATGAACCTTCTTAAACATTAATGATCATCTTTTGTACTAACTTCTTTACACATGTTCTCTCTTTTTTTTTTTTTGGTCAACACACATGTTCTCTCTATATATATGGACATCGTGATTTCGATGAATTAAAAAAAAAACACAAGTCAATTAAGACTTAAAATTTTCGACGAGTCGAAACTCACTTTTCACGTTAACGTTTATTTCCGTATAAATAAATCTTAGGTTTGCATTTTAATGCCCGCTTCTTGCAGAAGATACGATTGCATTAAGAATTTATAGAATCATTAGTTAGAGGCAGCAGACTCTACAATGACTTTAGCTTTTTCTTAGATAAAAGGATTCCGGCTGGAACTTTCATTCTAGGTTCAATTCGCCTTGATCATATAACCGTGCTATTTAGTGGATTAATTGTGTATTCAGATGTAAGACCTCGTGAAATTAGTCTTTTAGACTATTAAACTAGAGTTTCACCCGCACATTCGTGCAGGTATATTTTTTATTTTATAAATATATAACTAAAATTTTTAAATATATGATTTATATTTTAGCTTTAACTATAATTATATCTAATAAGTAAATAAAAAATACTTATTTTATAAAAAAAAGATATTTAAATTTTTGGTAAGATCTTATTAGATTTTTTTTGTATTTAAATTGATTTATTATTAATATATTTATTAATTATTAAATATTTTTAAAATAATATATATTTGACTGGTTAATGTAACAATCAAATATGTCAAATTAAATAATTAATGACATGGTCCAATATAACTTCTACATAGTAGATAAATTTGGTACTTCTCTTTTAATAGAGAAGATATTTAAATATCCATGATTACAAAAAAAAGGTATGATTTATAATCTATTTATATCTTTGTTTGTTCTGTATGGGACACCTTTATTCTTAATATTCTTTTAATGATTAACTAGATCATAACCCGCTCGACTGGGCGGGTCTTTATTTTTATGGTATATATAAACATTTCAAAAAATTACAATCTAATGGTTCCAATTTTACTAAGTAATAGTATATTGTTTAAATATTGTATTTCGTCACTGTATTGTGTAATAGGGGCGTCGTAAAATAGTGTGACCCGTAAACATTTTAGTAATAGTTTATAATTTTTTTTGGCTAAATTTGGTACCAAGTTATATACACTAAACAATTTAGTCAAATTTTTAAGTTAATTTTTTAACAAAGAATTGGAAGGCTATTATATCATTGTTAAAAACTTATAAAAATAGTCAATATAAATTATATAAATAAAATATATATTATTCTTGATTTTAAATACATTTAAAACATAAATACATATATGTATAAATAATTTTAAATATGTCCTAATCATGTTTCTAAACGCTTTATTTTTGTACTTCAGCTTTAATATTATAGATTGATTAGCCTTTAGAATACACTGATGGTCATGGATGAACTTATTGGATAATCTATCTATATCTTTGTTATATATGGAACGCGTTTAATGATGTCACACGTTTTTGTGACAGTAATGGGCATGGCAATTTTATAAAACACTAGTGGCGGCTTACGTACTGAAAAGAGAATACATGGCTCGAAACTAAGTTGGGTTCTATAAATCACTGGAGGCCCATTACGCCCTAGTAAAACATTAAATCGAAAAAATAATGGGGTGAGAGAGGCTCGAACTCTCGACCTCAGGATCACTCACTAGCTATGAGACCTACGCGCTAGCCAACTGCGCCACCACCCCATGTTGTTGTTTATACATTACAAGTATAACAATTTTAACACAAAAGTATCTTGAATTGTTCAGGTGAGCTAGACTTAGAAACCAAACATACTAGTTCAATATGTACTTTATGAATCAATTCATAAGGCATTAACTGAACTTAATTTCGAAATTTGTGGGTTAGCTATCTAGTTCGTCAAAAATGAACCACTTTGCTACATTAGTTCATACTATCACGTGGAGAAAAGTGAGTGATAGCTACGAGCATCCAAAAAAGGAACATTGAATATAATCTGTTAGGGGTTAATTTGCATAGCAAACCAAGGAAATCGATAGTGTTTTAAAAAAAACAAAATAAATAGTTTTTATGTTGTGTAACATAACTTTTAGTGGAAAGATATACTAACATTTGATTTTAACTTTGCAAACAATCTAAATTAGCCTGTTAGTTACTAAACGATTAATTAGACACAGCTATAAAATCTACATCTCGCAATGATAAAACATACTTATATTATTAATTACTTTTTTGCTCTATAAATAGTGTCATTCTGACTTTTTTTTTAAGTTATACAAAAGATATTATTTTGAAATTTCAGTGTTTATTTATCTTAAGAACTACTCCCTCTTGATTTAATTATATGATGTTTAAAGTTATTCACAGATATTAAGAAAAATTAAATGCTTACTTTTATCTATTACTTTTTTTGTTTCATTTTCAATAGATTTTAAGTTTTATTTGGTTCCCTATACAATTCAACCATTTAGCTTTTTATATTTTTTATTTTATTTTATTTTAAAAATTAAGTTGCATTAATTAAAAGGTAGAACATCGTACATTTATATACAAGTAAGAAAACTAAAACATCATATATTTGTATATGGAGGGAGTATTGATTAAATAAACGTAGTTAATAAAAGAAATATATACAACTGAATCATTTCTAAAACGTGTGTGAAAATGTCGAGTGACAACTCCGTGAACTAGATGTTGTAAACTTTGTAATAACCGATAACTTAGGGAACGAATGTAATTTGAGCTGAGCGGAAATGAAATGAGCCGAGCCTGTGGATCGAGTCGCGCCGCTGTCTATTTTTTAGTAACTCCGAGGCATATGGAAAGGGCGAAGTGGTTACTGCTGCGTACGTGACTACAAGAGTCAAAATTGGCTGACGAATAAATTGGGGAATCAATGTGGGTCCCGCCTTGTGACATGAAAAAAGCCTAGTTCCTTTGTGGACCTATCTGCTAACACGATTACTACCAGTAACTTCAAAATTATATTCTTAAACACGACTAATAAAACTACCAAAAGATACCAAAGCTTTTATAACTATCACATTTATAGGGATCCCATACATTTTTATCCAAACTTTATTACAGTTTTGACAATCGAGACATTCTTTCTTGGTCTTGAATGCACCAATATGGCAGCAATAAATCGCCATGTTGTAAAGAAGTAGTAGTGTTCAGACAAAAACATTGTCGTTTTATCGTCGGAAGTTAATTTATTTTTGACAGTTATCAAATCCAAATCAAATACCAATTCAACAAAGTTCCTTTTTTTATTAGCTATGTATTTTAAATTGAAGATCTGGAAACAGCATATATCCTGCGGGTGTAAGTGCACATGCGTGGTTGGGAACTTGGGCAGCATCAAGTTGGCATTATACAAAATTCTCGACCAAAATTAGAATATCTTCGTCTACATACTGGCTCTGATTGGTAACCATCGCGTAATCGCGGAATCGCGGAAATAATAGTTAAGTTGCGGAAAAAATTAATTTAGTCGTGGAAAAATTTAAAATTTGCGGAATGGCGGAATATATATTAAATTGATTAAAATATTTTATATGGTTTTTAATTTGTTATAAAAAACAACTAGTAATAATTAAACTAATTATTACAAAAGTGAAAACAACTAAAATTTATTAAAAACCTTTTAGTTTTTATTATAAATATCTAACATATCTTTCAATACATTTTAAAAATAGATTTTTTTAGTATATAATTTATAATAGAACTTTATTTACAACATAATTATTTATCATTAAAAATTATTGATTGTATTTTATATTTTAAGATAGTATTAGCAAATAATTTAATAATATGAAAATATTAGTTTGTAAATCTTTCCACCATAATCTACTAAAACTCACTTTTTCACTTAATAAAATTTCTCTTTATATTTTTGTCAGCAAAAACGCAAGTTTGCGTTTTTGCGTTTTTTTTTCATTCCGCAACATTTTGTTGATTGGTAAAATTCTTGCGGAATCGCGTTTCATAAGCGATTCCGCCATTCCGCATGGTTACCAATCAATGCCACTTATTACTAGTATTTATCTTTTATACGTTAAAGACACTATGTACCAAAACCATTGAGCATTGTGTGTTCTTCATTGGATTGGTTACTTTTATGAGTTTTATATTTTAATCAAAGAAAATTAAAAGGCGAGTTATATGCTTCAGCTGTTGTCCAGTGTTAGAAAAAATGTTTCAGCCGTTCTCATTAAGGATGCTTATATCATTAATTAATAAGTTAATACTCCCTCCGTTTCGAATTAATTGTCATTCTAGAGAGAAAAATTCGTTTCAAAATAAGTGTCGTTTTAGAGTTTCGAGGTAAAATTTATTAATTTTGTATGATATTCTATTTTTTCTATTGGTTGAAAAGTGTTTAGGTGTATAGGTAATTGTGTTTTCTATCTTGAAAATATGTAAAATTAAATGTTTCTTTAATCTGTGTGTAAAAACTTAGAATGACAATTAAAATGAAACGGAGTGAGTATCAAATTTATAGACTAGTGTAACCTAGAATCCCTGTAAACTAAACAAATACAAGAGCAAAGCTACTTTATGTGCATATGAAGATATTTAATTTCTACTTATTAGGCTGATGAAAGCATCCCAATGAGCTAAAGAATATTAAAATACGTGAGAATAAAATTAAAATACGCGTATCAAAGTTTTGTCATATGCGTCGAGATTAAAGTCAGTCTGAGTCATATCACTCGCTAAAAATATACTATTGGTACTTGGTAGTAACCAATAAGTGGTGGTCTGGTTGGATATGGCCACGTTCTAGCTGGACATGCTGCATGTAATATACAGTAGTAAAAAATAGCATACATGAATACAAATTGTAATAACTAACATGTTATGCATGCATGCATTCTACTACTTCAATTAGGCGAGATAGATGATTAAAGTGATGATGTATAGTTTTTTACCAAGAAAAAAAGTGATGATGTATAGGAAAATTAATATGACAATCAACAAAAGTGGGGAGAAAGGCAAATAAGCCCTAAGAAGTAGTACAATGTTAACATTGTTTAGACACAGTGGAGCATGTCACCCCAAGTATTAGCTAATGATCGATTATTCCCTTGCTTCTAATCTAAATTATTAATTATCAGACAGCCAATTATGGCTATGATTCATAATTACTTCATTTTGTTTTTAATCATTGCAGTGCGCATATATTGGGTTAAAAGATGAATTAATGATAGTGGAAGTTGACGTGAACAACTTTATTTGTTTAAATTTTTAGGGAATAATCCTCTTTCCTAAAATATTAACTAATACGCTTACTCCCATTTGAGTTTAATATGACATGACTACAGTTTTTAATCCCGAAACAAGGGATGATTTGTTGACGTAGGAGAAATGAAGCCGATGTGAAAGTTCAGAAACTTTTTTAGTTTTATCAATTTGTTCAGTTGAATCCGTCCTCTAGCTGGTTATGCAAATTGATTTGCTTGTTGAATATTAAAACCTATTATAAAACATAATTAATATAAATAACTATTTATGCGATAACAATTTTGTCAAATAACCAAATTAACAATTTGATTCACTTTATATGTTATTTCTTTGTTAGAGAGCTTTGATTAGTCTATATATTCTGAAGTTTTTATTTGTTTATTAACACAGCTCTGATTCATAGTTCACCGTAATATGTAGATGAAGCTAAAAATTAATCTTGTTTTTCTTTGGCAGATTAATCTTGTGCTTGCCCGAAATTTATCTTTCTTGCCATTGTTCTTGTTGGCCAACATTTATTATTGCAGTTCGTTTAACGAAGGAGCTTCTTTACTTTATAAAACCGTAAAAGTTTCAGACGGTTTATCCTCAATTGTAAACTTTCGTAATAGTAATTTTTTATATTGACCAGAAAACAACTTTTTGACGGCGGTGAATGATTACATGCACGTGTATACTATAACGATGACCGTGAAAACTTATCAAAGAACAACATGATGAGAAGAAATATATAGCCGGAGAGGACTTTGCGAGATATACGTGATATATGAACGGTGAAGCGACGTCGTTAAAGTGACGTGCTCGATGTAAACTAGGTCCTACACCACATGCCTCTCCACCAATGTCTTTGTCTGAAAGGGAGAGAGCAAAAGTCTCTCGGGGTCCACTGGCTAATAGGCGTGCCCTACCACAGCTTTTGGGTTTTTTGGCCTTCTCTAAAATCTAAACATCAAGGCAAGGTTCGATAATAAGAGAAGATCTCTTGCAAATCTAACACGTCTACGGCTGAAACGTCTTGAAGTTCAGTGATCAGGATACGGATCGCCGCATGGAGATAAAAGACCTCAGTAAACAAATATTTCTGAAACTCGTTCAACAGAATCCCATGTGCATCTCTCCACTTCGTGTTGTCTGACATCTTCATTTATTTATTTTTGTTAGTTTTACCAAAATTCTAGTCACTCTTAAAATTAATGCACCAGAATTTACCAGCAGTAATTTATCAGATCTCATTAAAACTCTACTGCTCCAATGAACTAGTATTAGGATAGATGACCGCTCTTTGGTATTCTTATTTAGATATAATATATGAATTCTAAATATAGCATTATACATGAATATCTGAAAATTGTCAAAAATGGTAGATAAATCACAACATTGTTCAAGAAGATCAATGTGTTTTGCACGATATTTAGAACCGGTCCTAGTTTTAAAACCATAAAATGATTCACTGATAACTTTTAACAAGTAAAGTGTGTCTTATATATTAATTTTTAAAAATTCAAAAAATCTTGTCCAAGACCAACTCAGCATTAATGTCTTAATATACCAGTATCTTTTACCAATATACATCTTATCAAATTTTACTACATTTACCTATTCTTTTATCCGAGTTATTTTTGAAGCAAAGGGGGAAATTAAAAAGAAATGTGTTAGGTGAAAAGTAACTAACGAAAGAAGAAAAAGGAACGGCTAGAAACAAACACGGATATTTAGGGTGATCCAACTAGGTGGCTCGGCTTTTCATGTGTGCATCTCCACGAGTCCACGTCTACGCAGAAATTTTCAAAAGACAACGAAAAGAACAATCGTGCCTGATTCGAACGTTTTTGCATGGTTTTGAATGTTTTTTTTAACTAGCTTTATGGTTTTTAATGGTGAACCTTTTGATACTAATCCACATTATAATGATAGCTTACATGCAGCAATTGCTAGTCATTAACGGACATCATTATTTGGTTTCAGTTTATCCAACCCGGAAAATTACCGCAAATTGACACTTGCTTCACACTTTCACTTTCATTTTAATTTGCATTGTAACAAAACTACTCTCTTTTGGGAAGCAAGGGAAGATGTATAAAATGGTATTTACAGGCAAAAAAAAAAAAAACAGAATAGTCGTAACTTCGCCAATCTCCCTTAGAGCACTCCCATCAAAGGTTGATGGGGGAGTTCACACACGAACCGAGAAAAAATAATAATATTAAAATCAGATTTCTATGAACCCCTCTCTCAAAAGTTCACCGCGGTGAACCCCGATGACCCCGGATTCACCACGTGTCAACATATGATTGGTCCAAAATTAATTTTTTTTTTTTTTTTAAAGTAAACGAAAATAAAAAAAAAATTATTTTTTATTGGTGTGAACCCCCAAAAGGTGTTTATCAATGTGGGTGCTCTTAGGAACCTAAAGATTTTTATCATTACATTCAACGAGGCTAAGTAAAATAAACTTCAAACAATTGATTAAATCTTCATGTAACCTGTTTTTATTTTATTTCAGAACTTTTTATCCTCTCTTAAACCTCGCAAGGATTTAGCTGCACGTGCATGAAACGGCATGCGATCTTTCCGTCTTTCACTTCTTATCCTCATACCTTCCTTAACCAAGACCCCGCCATTTAAGGCAATTCAATTTCCCAACCCCATATCCCTTCAGAAATATTTTCACAAATGCCCCTATAAATTTCAAAAGTTTAAATTTTATCCTCAGCAATACCACTGCTCAGTATCTTCAAACAACTTGCAAGCTTCCTCTCCACTAAAAAGATCTTCATGCTCTTCCATTTTCACAAATTGGCTAAAACATCCCATTGTTGACATTTCAACCGCTGTCGCCGCGGCCGTGGGACTATACTCTTCGTTCAAAATAGCGCTTGAGTCGCTGCTATCAGCAGGACCTTCTCTGAAGATTTCGGTACGTGGGAAAATGCTAAACATCTCGTACGCAAGCTCTGATGCCGGAGCTTGCATAGGAATATGTGGCGAAGGACGCTGGTTTAGCTCTAAGTCTTCCTTATTAGGCATCACCTTTTCATCCACCTTCACAGTGACGTTTTCTTCTGTTGATGCGTTACTATTGCTTCTGCTGATACCATCCACGTTAAGTTTAGCTCTTAGCTCTTTAATCTGCGGAAATGTAAAATATAAAAATCATAAGTTGCCTTTCCAAAAAAATATTCATTTACTTGGGGTTTTATATTTGGATATAACTTTAAAAAAACATTTAATTATGTATAACCTCATAAATATAAGTATTTTAACCAATATAAAAATAAATAAAATGTTATATTTTGTAACAAAAAATTATACTAAACAACAATACTTAATATATGAAGAGTACTCCTTCTATTTTAATACCACACATATTCTAGTTTTTTCACATATATTAATAAAATATCTAATAAATACATAAATTTTTTTGATTATCTTTTTTTCCATTATTTTAAACTAATAAAATTTCAATAAATGTAATTAAGTTTTTTGAAATTTATAATTAATCATTATTATTTCATAAAATATATACTGAAAACATTAAAGATAAATCTTTTTAAACAATTTTTTTTTCTAGAAAATATAAAAAATAAATCTTTTTGAAACAGATGGAATATAAATTATGGGTAAAATTGCTGATGTGTTTAGTAAAACGTTCACTTAAATTAAAACGGTCAATTTAAAAAAAGAAGTCAAAAGTTATACCTCTGCAAGGAGTGAATCGTTATCACGTTGAAGCGAGTCGCGGCTGCGTTTGAGTGCGTCAAAGTTTGACTTGAGAACGCCGTAATCACGTTCTAGCTGCTTTGTCTTCCACCGAGCACGGCGGTTCTGAAACCAAATCGCCACTTGTCGCGGTTGCAGCCCAAGCTCTTGAGCCAGTTTCACTTTCCTCTCGGGTTCTAACTTGTTATCAATCCCAAAGTTCTTCTCTAACGCTTTCACTTGCTCTATACTCAACCGCCGTTTTTTCTCCCCTGCCGCCGTAGACGACGCGTGTCCCATGCCTATGTCCTCTAGACTTCCGTCTTCTAGACAGTCAAACATCGGGGAGTAGTCTCCGGTGCCGGAAAAGAGAAAGCCCGTGGCTGTTGTTGGTCTTGGACTTAATCGTTTGTCTGATAAAATCATTATTAAAAACGTTACTATATTTTGATCAAAAAAAAAACGTTACTATTATGTGAACGGATATTTTAAAATCAATATGATGTCATGAATGAATACATTACACTACAAAACCTTACCAGTATAATGTCTCGATAATATGAATTGTCAGAAACAAACATCATTACCAGTTTTAAATATTAAATTAATTGTTGGCAAAGAAATCAAATTAAATTATACAGAAGACTTGTGGTTCTAGATAGTTATAAATCGACATCAAGATACACAGAACTGCGTTGTAAAAAATATCCTAACCTCATTAAAACAGACATATTACAAACAATGGATCGAGAATATAAAGAAATTGAGTATGTATGTGTTACATTACAATAAGAGTCTTGTTTTTTTTTACCTGTTGCAGAGTGGCAAATTGGTAAGAACCCGGATAAAGAATCGGAGCTCCCACGTGATCTCTTCATCTTGTTTGGTCGGAAACTATTGAGATCGAGAACTAAATAATAAGGCGCAAAAGGAGAAAAAAAGCTTTATGTCAGTTTAATGGTTATATCGAGACAGTGATCGTTTTAGTAACGTTCGATCAGGATATGTATACGACTAATACGTGTAGTAGTATAGCTCGAAGATACTATCCTCTCTCTTTTTCCCTAAAGAAGTAGCTTTGCTCATCTAAGAAAGACTCTACTAAGACAGAGATAGACTGTCAAGACACCTTTCAAGAAAGAAAAAACGAAACTCAAAACATCAAATTTTCTCTATCGGGAAAATATAGGCCGAGTCG